TCAGACAGAAAAGGACAAATACCATATGATTTCACTCATATGTGGAATTTAAGAAACAAAACAAATGAACAAATGAAGAAGAGACCAAAAAACAGACTTTTGGGGGGGGTTCCAAAGTTTTATTCAAGAACTTATATAAAATATTCCAGATAAATGAACTTTAATCCTCACCTTCCTCCTCTTTCTCATCCTGGTAAATCTGGAAGTAACAATTCATAACTGCTGTTGGCAACTGTGCACAACCAGTGACGTAGATTATTCTTCAAATATTTTTCAGTGAGATATTTCAAATGCCTTTTAGAAAAAGACACCTCAAAAGGTACAGTAATCTTGCTCTTACTCCTTTCAATAGTTGCAACCCCTCCACCGAGATTCTCAGCTTTTCTATTCACTTTGAATCTCTCTTGAGGAAACCGCTCAAAAGGGGCTGCATCCGTGATTCCATCTTCTACAGGGTGGCTGCGGTCAAGGATAAACTTCAGAGCTTGCTTCTTTTTTTGCCCCCCTTCAGCACAAGCTTTTTCACAGGTGTCAGGGTGGCAATGGAGGCGGAAAGGGAAGTGGGCATACTATGCACAGGCAAAGAGCCCGCCAAAAAAAACAGAGGTTTCGGGTTCTTGGGTTTTTTTTTAAAGATTTTATTTATTTATTTGACAGAAAGAGAGAGCACAAGCAGGGGGAGCGGCAGAGGGAGAGGGAGAAGCAGCCTCCCTGCTGAGCAAGGAGCCCGACATGGGGCTCGAGGTGGGGCTCAATCCCAGAACCCCGGGATCATCACCTGAGCCGAAGGAAGACGCTTAACCGACTGAGCCACCCAGGCGCCCCAAAAACAGAGTTTTATTTTTTATTTTTTTATTTTTTTAAAAGATTTTATTTATTTATTTGAGAGAGAGACTGAGATAGAGAGAGCATGAGAGGGGGGAGGGTCAGAGGGAGAAGCAGACTCCCTGCTGAGCAGGGAGCCCGATGTGGGACTCGATCCCGGGACTCCAGGATCACGACCTGAGCCGAAGGCAGTCGCTTAACCAACTGAGCCACCCAGGTGCCCCCCAAAACAGAGTTTTAAATACAGAGAACAAAGTGATGGTTTCCAGAGGGGAGATGGGTGGAGGGATCGGTGAAATAGGTGAAAGGGATTAATAATACACTTACCCTGATGAGCACTGAGCAATGTACAGAATTATTGAATCATGGTATTGTACACCTGAAACTAGCATAACACTATTATGTTAATTATACTTCAACAAAAAATATAATAACTATATCAGGAGGATGGGATAGAAATATGTGTTGGGGAGTAACACATGATGAGGTAAATCCTCATCTTTTGTAGTTGGAAGTTAAAAGGTAATAATATCTGGGGCTCAGTCGGTTAAGCATGGACTCTTCATGTGAGTTCAGGCCCCACATTGGGCTCCACGATGGCCATGGAGCCTACTTAAAAAAGGGGGGGGATGCCTGGGTGGTTCTGACAGTTAAGCATCTGCCTTCAGTCAGGTCATGATCCCAGGGTCCTGGGATCAAGCCCCGCATTGGGCTCCCTGCTCTGCGGGAAGCCTGCTTCTCCCTCTCCCTCTGCCTGCCACTCCCCCTGCTTGTGCTCTCTCTCTCTCTCTCTCAAATAAAAAAATAAAAATCTTTTTTAAAAAATAAGAAAAATAAATATTTAAAAAATTTTTAAAGGTATTATCTGAAACTGAAAAATCAAGAAATAGCAGTATAAACACGTTTTTGAAAATTTGGAGTTCTAGGGGCACCTGGGTGGCTCAGTCAATAAAGCATCTGCCTTCTGCTCAAGTCATGATCCCAGGATCCTGGGATGGAGCCCCACATCAGGCTCCCAGCCTGCTTTTCCCTCTCCTCCCCATTTGTGCTGTCTCTCTCGCTCAAATAAATAAAAATAAAATCTTTTTTTCTAAAAAGAAAGAAAATTTGGAGTTCTAGACTGCAAGCAACCATTAAAAAGTTGCAGTGATTGAGGAAGTACAAGTTGGATATGGGGAGAATAGAGTGTTATGACTTTTAACAATCTCTTTGGCCTTTTACACTATGTACCTGTACTGCTTTGATAAAAATCAAAATTAAATTTAAAAATTAGTATGAGGTAGTGGCACCTGGGTGGCTCAGTCAGTTAAGTGTTTGACTCTTGATTTCAGCTCAGGTCATGAACTCATGGTTGTGAGATTGAGCCCTGCACTGGGCTCTGAGCTGGGCATGGAGCCTGCTTAAGATTCTCTCTCTCCCTCTCCCACTGCCCCTCCCCGCTCCTTCCCTCTCTAAAAATAACAACAACAACAACAATAATAATATGTAGCTAACAACTGACTTGTGGATCTTCTACAAAGACAAGAAAATATATTGAGTGTTTTAGCTGTCTTTAAGCCAACATTTGCTTTTCTTTTTCTGTAGTAAAAGATAAGAATATACATATATTTTGTTATAGAGAAGTTTAGCATGCCAAATCCAAACTCACTGTTACAAGATAGAGAGCTTATTCAATGCACAATGCCTGTTGATGGGATTTTGGTATATTCTTCTGCCATGTGTTTGAATAAGTATGTTTCCCTGTTTATTTCTTAATACAGCCTGGATTTTTGACAAGGCTGTTTTGGGTTTCCATTTAACTTCAGTTCAATCATGTCAACAGCTTCCACAAATACCAAAAACAAAGTCTTAGTAACCCAAGAGTTTAATGCAATCCTACTGAAATATATTGAAATTTGATAGAAGCTGGGTGATTGGTGCAATGTGGTCCATTTAATTCAGGTTTTCTCCTGCTTGGTTATTTCAGCTGCTTTAACAAACAGTATTTTGCATTAGTGTAAATTATTTTGGTGATATTATTTCTTACAAAATGGTGGGTTTACTTTCTTTTTTTTAATTTATTTTATTATGTTAATTGCCACACATTACATCATTAGTTTTTGATGTAGTGTTCCATGATTCATTGTTTGCATATAACACCCAGTGCTCCATTCAATACCTGCCCTCTTTAATACCCATCACCAGGCTAACCCATCCCCCCACCCCCTCCCCTCTAGAACCCTCAATTTGTTTCTCAGAGTCCATAGTCTCTCATGGTTCATCTCGCCCTCCGATTTCCCCCTCTTCATTTTTCCCCTCCTACTAGTTTCTTTTTTTTTTTTTTTTAATATATAATGTATTATTTGTTTCAGAGGTACAGGTCTGTGATTTATCAGTCTTACAGAATTCACCGCGCTCACCATAGCACATACCCTCCCCAATGCCCATCACCCAGCCACCCCATCCCTCCCACCCACCACCACTCCAGCAACCCTCAGTTTGTTTCCTGAGATTAAGAATTCCTCATATCGGGCGCCTGGGTGGCTCAGTTGGTTAAGCCACTGCCTTCGGCTCAGGTCATGATCCTGGAGTCCCTGGATCGAGTCCCACATCGGGCTCCCTGCTCGGTGGGGAGTCTGCTTCTCCCTCTGACCCTCCCCCCTCTCATGTGCTCTCTCTCATTCTCTCTCTCTCAAATAAATAAATAAAATCTTTAAAAAAAAAAAAGAATTCCTCATATCAGTGAGATCATACGATACATGTCCTTTTCTGATTGAATTATTTCGCTTAGCATAATACCTAGTTCCATCGACGTCATTGCAAATGGCAAGATTTCGGGCTTTTGATGGCTGCGTAATATTCCATTGTATATATATATATACCACATATTTTCTATCCATTTATCTGTTGATGGACATGTTGGCTCTTTCCATAGTTTGGCTATTGTGGACATTGCTGCTATAAACATTGGGGATCACTTTTGGATTACTACGTTTGTATCTTTGGGGTAAATATCCAATAGTGCGATTGCTGGGTCATACAGTAGCTCTATTTTCAACTTTTTGAGGAACCCCCATACTGTTTTCCAGAGTGGCTGCCCCAGCTTGCATTCAACAGGTTTACTTTCAATATGTGTCTTTTTATTGTTTTGTTTTTGTGCCTTTTTTTGTTTCTTCTTCGTTGTTTCAATGTGTCTTTGAAGAGCTTGCTACACTCACTAATGTAGACTTTACTCACCTTTAAACCAAAATTTCCTCAATTGAACATATCTCTCACTTTATACTGAAAATCCATGAGAAGATGGTATTTGTTGTACAAAAATTTAACCATGATACAGGTGAATTTTATTTCTGTGAAATAGCTAAAAGGTCATGAGAGAGAAAAATACTAAATTTCTGCCTAGTCCTGGAACACCAATTGTAGGGTCCTTTGTCCATCTCTCCAGAGAAAGAAGGAAAGAGTGACAACTCATGTATATACGTTTGGAGGAGTATAACCTTTATGGAGGGCAATATTACAAAAAATATAGCAAAAAAAAAAAAAAACAAAAAAGGTGCACACCCCAAACTAAAAAGAAATACCACAACACATGTATTAGGGTGGCTACTTTGTTGTTGTTTTATTTTGCTTTATGTATATACATATACCTATATATGTGTGTGTGAATGTACATGTATATATATAACCCTGACAATGCCAAAGGCTGGAGCAACTGGAGCTCTCACACATTGCTGGTGGGAATGAACAACAGTACAACCACTATGACAGACAGTTTGGCTGTTTTTTACAAAGTTAAACATACACTTACCATACAACCCAGCACAGGGTGTTCACTCCCACTACTACTCCCATTCAAGAACAATAAAAAAGTAGGTTCATTCAAAAACTCTTACCCAAATGTTTATAGTGGTTTGATTCTTGGTTGTGAAAAACTAGAAACAACCCACATGTTCTTCAACTGGTAAGTGGATAAACAATGGTACATCCATAGAGTGGAAAAACTCAGCAATAAAATGCAACAAATTTCTGATATGCAACAACATGAATGAATGCTAAGTGAAAGAAGCCAGCCTCAAAAGTCTACATACTGGGGCGCCTGGGTGGCTCAGTTGGTTAAGCGACTGCCTTCGGCTCAGGTCGTGATCCTGGAGTCCCGGGATCGAGTCCCGCATCGGGCTCCCTGCTCGGCAGGGGGTCTGCTTCTCCCTCTGATCCTCCCCCTCTCATGCTCTCTGTCTCCCATTCTCTCTCTCAGATAAATAAATAAAAAATCTTAAAAAAAAAAGTCTACATACTGTATAATTTAATATATAAGACATTCTTATATGTCTTATATATTAAAGGCAAAGGCAAAATTATAGGGTCAGAAAACAGATCAGTAGTTACTAAAGGATGAGTGTGGGAAGAGAAGCTGACTACAAAGGGCACAAGGGAATTATGGTGCGGCAGGGTTCTGTATCTTGATTATGATGGTGGTTACGTGAATGTATGCATTTGTCAAAACACATAGAACTGTACACTTACAAGGATGAATTTTACTGTATATAAGTTACACCTTCATTAACCTGACTTTTTAAAAGGATTGGGGGCGCCTGGGTGGTGCAGTTGGTTAAGCACCCGAATCTTGGCTTCTGCTCAGGTCCTGATCTCAGGGTCGTGAAATCGAGCCCTGCGTCAGGCTCCATGCTCAGCGTGGAGTCTGTTTAAGACTCTCTCTCCCTACCCCTCTGCCCACCCCCACCATACGCATGCTCTCTCTCTCAAATAATAAATATATTTTTTAAAAGGGTTGAGTTTGAACTTTTTCATAATAAAAAGTTAAAATAAAAAGCATAGACCCTCTTGCAATTCTAGGAAACAATTGGACAGTGTGTAAATATGTATGAACAAGAATATTCCCATTGAAGTATTGTTACAGATAAAAACTGAAGAAAAAAAAAAAAACTCAAGCAATCCCAAGGCAGAGGATTGGATAAATATACTAGGTTATTTCTATACAATACTATGAAGTTTAAATAACTGTTGACAGAGGGGTGTCTGGGTGGCTCAGTCATTAAGCATCTGCTTTTGGCTCAGGTCATGATACCAAGGCCCTGGGATTGAACCCCACACCGGGCTCCCTTCTCGGCAAGAAGCCTGCTTCTCCCTCTCCCCCACTTGTGTTCCCTTTCTTGCTATGTCTCTCTCTGTCAGGTGAATAAATAAAATCTTTTTAAAAAAAATTTTAAAAATTAAAATAAATTGATGACAGAGAAGGGGAGAGTGGGCTCATAGTGAACTTCTTTGATTGAGTTCATTATGAAGTATAAACATTTAACTATCAAAAAATCCAAACATATCTGGTGCTTAGAGTAACTCCAAAAACACATGTGAGGTTACTATGTTCTGCTTAGTTAGCATATTGATAAATATAAGATTAGTAGGGGAAGAAGTGAATGTAAATTATAATTAAAGAATTTTCTAAAAGTGATAATACTTTGTAGCTCTAGTGAATATGAATATATACTGGGTTTTATATGTGTTCAATAATTTAATATGTAGGTCTCATTCCTTTTGTAATTAAAGAAAGGAACAAGCCATCTATTAAAGCAAAAGAAAGAAAAACAGGGAGACATGTTTATTGACATTGAAGAATGTTCACAAAATAATGTTAGGAAAAAAGGTTACAGGCCAAATATGTGTATGATATGGTCCCATTTGTGTAAAAAGTACAATATTTATACACATAAAATGTATGCATTCATTTTTTTTTAAAGATTTTATTTATTTATTTGACAGAGAAAGACACAGCGAGAGAGGGAACACAAACGGGGAGTGGGAGAGGGAGAAGCAGACTCCCTGCAGAGCAGGGAGCCCGAGGCGGGACTCGATCCCGGGACTCCAGGATCATGACCTGAGCCGAAGGCAGTCGCTCAACCAACTGAGCCACCCAGGCGCCCTGCATTCCTTTTTTTAAAAGATTTTATTTATTCACTGGAGAGAGAGAGAGAGAGCACACAAGTGGAGAGAGGGAGAGGGAGAGGGAGAAGCAGACTCCCCGCTGAGCAGGGAGCCGGGTTCAGATACAGGGCTTGATCCCAGGACCCCAGGATCATGACCTGAGCCCAAGGCAGATGCTTAACCTTCTGAGCCACCCTGGTGCCCCAAAATATGCATTTAGATGTAACTTCATAGAAAAACGTTTGTAAAATACCAAATATTAACACGGTTATTTCTTTTTTTTTAATTTTATTTATTTATTTGAGAGAGAGAAAGAGAGCATGAGATGGGGGAGGGTCAGAGGGAGAAGCAGACTGCCTGCTGAGCAGGGAGCCCAATGCGGGACTTGATCCTAGGACTCCAGGATCATGACCTGAGCCAAAGGCAGTCGCTTAACTGACTGAGCCACCCAGGCGCCCACAGTTATTTCTAATTGAAGGAATTTTAAGTGATGTTATTTTCTTTTCTTTTTTGAATCTCCTATTTTCCCTAAATTCATCAGGTATTACCTGTATAATTAAAAAATAATAAAGTAAGGATGCCTGGGTGGCTCAGTCGGTTAAGCATCTGCCTTCAGCTCTGGTCATGATCCCAGGGTCCTGGGATCAAGTCCCACATCAGGCTCCTTGCTCATCTGGGAGCCTGCTTCTCCCTCTGCCTGCCATTCTCCCTGCTTGTCCTCTCTCTCTCTCTCTGTCAAATAAATAAATAAAATCTTTTTTAAAAATTAAAAAAAAAAACAAAACATGAAGTGGGGCTTGAACTCACAATACCAAGATCAAGATCTGAGCTTCCGACTGAGCCACCCAGGTGTCCCTCCTTTTTATTTTATTTTTTTTAGAAGGAGCAAAAAAAGTCAATTTTTCCCAATGTGAATAGATTTATAACCAACCTGCGAGAGTACTACTTAATTATATATATGTCATACCTAAAATGATAAATGCGTTGGACAGTAGAACAGTAGAAAGAATGCAGGATCTACGAGCTCATTAATAGATGTATTTCACTTTTGCGGATGTTCCTTAGAAATGACTTGAAGCTTTTGTTGGGTTTTGGATTTCCTCCTCCGAGCAATGCCTCCTCAGCTACTGCAGGGAATTAATTGAGGCGGGAGCAGCAGCTGGAACCAGAAATGTCCTCTATTAAAAAAAATTCTCAATTTTCCTTAAAGGTTTTTTGTTTTTTAAATTATTTTAACACTTTTTTAAAGATTTTATTATTTATTTGAAACAGAGAGAGAGATCACAAGTAGGCAGACAGGCAGGCAGGCAGAAGGAGAAACAGGTTCCCGCTGAGCGGGGAGCCCGATGCAGGACTCAATCCCAGGACCCTGGGATCATGATCTGAGCCGAAGGCAGACGCTTAACCAACTGAGCCACCCAGGTGCTCCATTTTAACACATTTTGAGTGAGGGGTCAGTCAGAACCTGATTCTTTGTCCCAGTAGAATTTCTATATGACTTCAGCCAAGTCACTTTACCTTTTAAGATTCATGTCCTCTTAAAAAATGTATAGCTACAGTGGGGACTGCTTCTCCCTCTCCCCCTGCTTGTGCTCTCTCTCTCTCTCTGACAAATAAATAAATAAAATGTATAGCTATTTTGAGATCAAATAAGATGTGCATGAAAACACAGCAAACTCTTTCTCTTATAAGATTTCAAAGAAATCCAAATCATTTGTCACAATCTGAAATGAGAACAGACTTCTTATCTGGGGGATGATTTAAACCAGTAATAAGTTACCCATTGTAACAAGATTACACTATTATATTATCCCCTGATTCTTATTCCTATAGTGATTCAGACATAACAGTTCCTTGAAAAACAAAGAAAAAAATATCTTTAACTAGAATCTTCTCACCATGGAAGGGAAGTGGTAGAAGTGTTAATATCTGGGGCGCCTGGGTGGCTCTGTAGTTAAGCGTCTGCCTTTGGCTCAGGTCATGATCCCGGGGTCCTGGGATCGAGCCCCGCAATGAGCTCCCTGCTCCGCGGGAAGCCTGCTTCTCCCTCTCCTGCTCCCCCTGCTTGTGTTCCCTCTCTCGCTGTGTGTGTCTCTCTCTCTCTGTCAAATAAATAAATAAAATCTTTAAAAAAAAAGTGTTAATATCTTTTGCTTGGGTTGGTATACAACGTTCATTTAAGTTAGACAAATGGTAGAGAATAAGGAGAAAAGGAAGAAGACAGGCAGAATGAGGCAGCCACCAGAGCAGACAGAACAGATAACTACAATTCCAGAGCACCCTGCTATCCTTTTTCTTTCCTACTTGCAGAGGAAGCAATTTATAAAATGTATTAAGGAGAATCCTGCTTTGACAGAACCTATCCTTTGGTGTCACTCTCCAAGACAGTGAAACACGAACCTGCCTGCCTTGGAGTGGAATTTTTTGTTGTTACATATAACTCTAGGACCTGCTCCTATTCTGCGGAAAGATTGTTGGTATCAGGTAAAGAAAACCTCACCACTAGTTTCCCATCTTCTTTGATTCCCATAACATTTTGCTCTACCATTATTCAGAACTCCTCAGTGCTGCAGTCTAGTAATTGGGTAAGGTATCTATAGCCCTTAAGAGATTGTGAAATTCTTGAGGGCTGGGATTACCTCTTGTTAATTTTTTATTTCTAGGGCATGGCATGGTGCCTAGCATCTAGAAGTCCTCAATATATGATTGTAAACTAGTGAAGGTATTGTGGCTCATCTCTATAAAGATGACTGCAAATAACAATTCCAGATGCTGGAAGCCCTACCAAGAATGGCAAACTTCCTACTACCTTCCCTATTCCAGTTGGTGTAGGGCTTTGGTTCTCAAGTGGGGTCCCCTTAGACCATCAGCATCACCTGAGGACTTGCTACAAATGCAATTCTCTGGACATACTCCAGACCTACAGAATCAGAAACTATGGGAGGGAGGCCCAGAAATCTGTAATTAAACAAGCTTTCCAGATGCACACTTTCCAGATGTGTTCTGATGCACACTGATGTTTGAGAACCAGTAGTGTAGTAGGAAGTCCAACGGGGTCTGTGCTCTTGCCCTGGTTCAGCTTAGCGGCCCTGTGTCTAACCATGAGAGAATCCCTAAGCCCCTCAAAACTCTGCCTTCACAGGGAGAGTTGGAATGATGCCTGAGAACCCTTCTGGTCTAAAATTCCGCAAAATACCAAAGACAGAAAGAAAGTAAATAAATGTTCCAATGACTAGATTTAGTCATTCATTCAGCAAATATGTACGTACCAGACAGTGACCTGGACACGGAATCAGTGCAGGACACAAAATTACTCCTTTTTATTTTTTAAGATGTTATTTATTTATTTATTTATTTGAGAGAGTGAGGATGCAGGAGAGCATGAATGAACAGGGGTGGGGGGTGGGGGTGGGGACGGGGCAGAGGGAGAAGCAGACTCCCCGCTGAGCGGGGAGCCCCATGCGGGGCTCCATCCCAGGACCCTGGGATCATGACCTGAGCCGAAGGCAGACACTTAAACCAACTGAGCCACCCAAGTGCCCCACAATTACTCCTTTTTAAATAAAGTTGCAAGATTGCAGACCACAAACTTACCTGTCTTCTGTCTACAATAGTCTCACATTGCATTTGTTGGGGAATGTGAACTGGAAAGCTGAGAAAATGATCCAGAATTCTGACCACTCCTCTCCCAAATTACTTGGACTTTAATTCTTTTGTTTTTTGTTCTTTGTTTGTTTGTTTGTTTTTACTTTGACCTCAATTCTTAAGCTCTTGTGTTTGCTTAAGGGGCTTCAGTACTCATGTGTTAGGAGACAAGCGTGTGATAATAAATGTGATTATCTACCAAATTAGAATATCTCTGGGTCTACATTATTTCATGGCACAAAGTTGCTTGCTCTTTTTTTTTTTTTTAAGATTTTATTTATTTATTAGAGAGAGAGAATGAGAGAGAAAGAACACATGAGAGGGGATAGGGTCAGAGGGCGAAGCAGACTCCCTGCCGAGCAGGGAGCCCGATGCGGGCCTCGATCCAGGGACACCAGGATCATGACCTGAGCCGAAGGCAGTCGCTTAACCAACTAAGCCACCCAGGCGCCCCAGTTGCTTGCTCTTTTAAGAAATCGAATTCCAGGAGCGCCTGGGTGGTTCAGTCGTTAGGCATCTGCCTTCAGCTCAGGTCATGATCCCAGGGTCCTGGGATCAAGCCCCGCATCAAGCCCCGCATCAAGCCCCTCATCGAGCCCCGCATTGAGCCCGCATCCGGCTCCCTGCTCCGCAGGAAGCCTGCTTCTCCCTCTCCCGCTCCCCCTGCTTGTGTTCCCTCTCTCACTGTGTCTCTCTCTGTCAAATAAATAACATCTTAAAAAAAAAAAAGAAATCGAATTCCATCTAATTGTCACCTCATTGATTCTCTTTTCTCGTTACCAACTGTATTGCTTAAGTTCCTGTGTTGGCCATTCGCCTTTTTTTGTTTTTGTATTGTTTTGTTTTTTTAATTTATTTATTTGAGAGAGAGAGCAGGAGGAGGGGGAGGAGCAGAGGGAGAAGCAGACTCCCCGCTGAGCAGGGAGCCTGATGCAGGGCTTGATCCCAAGACCCTGGGATCATGACCTGAGCAGAAGGCAGACACTTAACTGACTGAGCCACCCAGGTGCCCCTCCTTTCTTTTTGATCTGCCTCCCTCCCACACTGACTCTTGTATACCCCACCACACAAACTCAGTACCTAGTGGGCTTTTGTAAGGTGTTTTAGACTATTTAGGACATTTATTGAGTTTAAACATCCTTTTTTAAAAAGAGATTTTATTTATTTATTTGACACACAGAGAGAGAGAGCATGCACAAGCAGGGGGAGCGGCAGAGGCGCTCCTAAATATCCTTTTTAAAAGGACCTCTTAATGGGATGCCTGGCTGGCTCAGTTTGAAGAGTATGCCGACTCTTGATCTTGGGGGTTGTAAGTTCTAGCCGCACGTGGGGTATAGAGATTCCTTAAGTAAGAAAAATAATAATAAAGTAAAAAGAACTTTTAAGAAAAAACAAACCAGGGGCGCCTGGGTGGCTCAGATGGTTAAGCATCTGCCTTCGGCTCAGGTCATGATTCCAGGATCCTGGGATCAAGCCCCACATCGAGCCCCACATCGAGCCCCACATCGAGCTCCACATCGAGCCCCACATCGAGCCCCACATCGGGCTCCTGGCTCAGCAGGGAGCCTGCTTCTCCCTCTCCCTCTGTCTCCCCCCCTGCTCATGCTCTCTCTCTCTCTCTGTATCTCTGTGTCTCAAATGAATAAATAAAATCTTTAAAAAAAAAAAAAAGAAAGAAAGAAAAAACAAACCAAAAAGCCACCAACCACACTTGGACATTTGATTCTCTGACCTGTTCACATTTCACTGCATTTGAAAGGACAGGAGATGGCGCCAGAAGGCAGTGGAATGCCTTGGGTTTAGCCAACTCCGGGGTAAGGAATGTGCTGGAGAGAGAAGTAGGAATTAAAACAAAGGTACCAGAGTTTGAGTAGCTACTAAGGTGAAGGGAGTGGGGGGGGTGGGATGGCATTTTGTTTTGTTTTAACATAGAAGGGTCCTCTTGACACCTACTCCAAATTAGCTTGGTGACTACAGAAATATCCATAGTAGAGCCAAAGAGCAAAATAAAGGCAAGTGCCTGGAGGACGGTGCTTGCCTCCTTACTCCCTCCCTCCCAGAAACCAAGGTCTTTGTCTACTGGGGAAGCACGAGGGCCTGGAGAGGCTGCTCACTCAGAAGTGGGAAGGTGCTGATTTGGGGCTAAGACATTTTTGTGAAACAATGTTTATTTCTGGAGGCAAAATCCCAAATCCCACCAGCAGTGAAACACTTCCCCGAAGCAGTCACACACACACATTTTAAATTAAAATTTTAAAAAATTACCAAAAGAAAAAATTCATGAGACAACCAGGAGGTGGCGCCTGGCAAGACACACTATCTGCCTGGGGAAGCTGAATTACAGCCACAGCCGCTGGACGGGGACTCTGACCTAGCGAGGTCATTCTGTCCAGGCCCATTCTTTCCTCCCATGCAATAGATGTCTCTGCTTTTCTTCCTTTCTCTGTTTCTCTGTGTTAACTATCCTGATTCCCAGGATGTCTAGTTTACACTTTATGCCTTTTATTCTTCTTAGATGAGAGGGGTGGGGCTTTGGGGAAACCCCAAAACATAAAATGCGCCTTGTAAGGGAAAAATAATTCTGTGGGTGATGAGAAAATGAAGAAGGAAATGACATCCTCCAAATGGTTTTGCTTCGCACATCAATCACAGGGACCAGAAAGGCATGACAACTCCTGCCTCAGTGGGCACTGATGATCCAGCACATGCATTATTCTGTTCATTTGGCTTTTATCCTGCTTCCTTATTTAGCTTCTGCTCCCTTTGTTTTGGCTATTTCTTGCTTCTTGGCAGGAGGGACAAGTGCAGAGGGAGCTCAAATGGGTGCCTCCTCAGGGCTGGTAACTCTGGTGAAGGGCACGGAGGAGAAAGAGGTCTCAGTGTCTAGCTTGAAATTATCTGTGTGTTTCACATTCTCTAATGAGGGCTTTAGGATGTACATTCCGATCGGGATTTCCAGTCCCGTGGGGAAACAGGCACCAGCCCACATTCCTGAGACCCAGCAGCCTATGCTCTACTCATCGAGCTCTCTGGTGGCAGATTTCACTCAGTCCCACATGTCCGGCCTCAGCCCTTTGTTGAGCAGGAGGGAAGACCCTGGGCCCCACTTCCAACTAGATCACATGGTCTCTCTCTACTCCCTCCCCTCCCTTTCTCTAGAGTCCGCCTTTTTTTTTTTTTACGGTGGTAATGATTGTTTCAAAGGTCTCCCCATCTCTCCTCCTGCCCTGGCCTCCCTGCCAGGGGTCAGTGTCCTCTTCAATGACAAAAGCCGCCCTAGATCTGGGCTCCCTGGGGAGGGAGGTGGCCGGGTCTGGCAGTTGCAGCCGCTGTCTCTCCGTGGTGCTGCTGCAGCCCCTCCCCCACTGGGCACACAAATGGGCTTTATACAGCAAACAAAACCACCCCCCCACCCAGGCCGCACAGGCACGTGGACCCAGGCCTCACCGTGGGAAGGGGGTGGTGACAGGCGCAGGAAGAGATCGGTCCAAACAAGCTCTCTTGCCTCATTTCTCTTCTTTATTTTCCACAAGCTAGGTTTTAGCCCTTGACTTCCTACCCTCCACCTGCACCCTGAGTCCCCAACTCCTATCTCCGAACTCTGGACCCTTCCTATTCCGGGGCAGTTCATATTCTGCAGGGGACAGCGAACAGGTCTTCCCACCCACTGCCCCATGCCACCCAGGGGAGTTGCTCCTCGGAGAAGCCAGACGGGGAATGAGAACACAGTGTCCCCCTGAGGGGGCTGGATTGGACCCCCAAGCCCTCCTCCCGTGGCCCAGGCCCGCTCCAGGGGACACCCACCTGGACAGTGCCCATGAGAAGAGCAGAGGAAGGAAGAGCTCACCCCAGCTGGGCGCCTGAGCCAGGGCCCGGGCTCCTGTGAACCCGCCGCGAGCTCCAACTCTGCATGCCTAATCGGCTATTTAAGGAGCTGTTCGCCAGCGACCCAGGCAGCACCCCCCCCTCCCCGCACCACCACCACAAACACTCGTCCAGAGCCACCTTAAAAGCAGGAGGCGATTGTGAAGTCGCTGGCCAGCAAGTGGAGTGAAGACTGTAGAGGTAGATGAAAAAAGAGAGAGAGGCAGCGAGAGATTTGTCCTAGGGACCCAAAACCCTTCGGTACCCTACTGAAAACCAAATCCTCTGGAAGCTCATAGAGACAGCAAGAGAAAAAGAGATAAATACAATCAGCTCAGGTCCAAGAAACTCCTCTCTCACTCTCTCTCTGTCCCTCCCTCCCTCTCCCTCTCCCTCCCTCTCTCTCTCTCTCTCCCTCTCCCCCCCCTCTTTCTCTGCCAACCCTAGTCCTCTAGTCCCCAAACTCCCAGTACCTGCTTCTTCTGGGGATACCATGTTGTTCTTCACTCTCCTGCTGGAGGTGATTTGGATCCTGGCTGCCGAAGGGGGTAGGTACATCTGGATGTCTGTGTGTCTGTCTGTGCTGATATCCACATGCTCTAGGTTTCCTTAATGGAGCGGCAGGGGGGTGGGGGGCTATAAAAGGAAGCCTAGGAGCTTGAATAATAGACTCAGGGATGTGGGGGAAGAGAGAGGAGTGGGGAGAAGAGCACTTTCCTTCTTCCCCCTTTGCTTGTCCAGCCTTGCTGTTTGTGGGGATGGGGGGGAGGGTTGGGGAACTAGCTGGGGAGCAGGATGTGTACACACACTGCGGGAATCGCTCTCCGCACTCTTTCCTGCACCGCCCTAGTCCCAGGCAGCCCTCCCAGGCCTTCTTTATTTCTGAACTCCCTCAACTAGCGAGCCAAGGAGGCAGCGAGTGAAAAAATAGAGAGGACTCTATACCCCTGCACCTCCTGACTAACTCAGACCCTGATCCCCAACTATGAACTGCATGGCCAATGTCCACTCTTGATTCTATGGGGCGACTGGTTTCCCAGTTTCTCCCTGCAAGCAGTAGCAATAACAGCCAACACTGTTGGGCCCTTTACAGCTTACAAAGGACTTTCAGAAGCTCCCAGGACATGAGGAGGACTCGGGAGACCAGGCTTCTGGGTGCTCCCAAGTGTTCCCAGGACCCCCACCCCTTATTTTTGTGTTTTCTAGGTCTAGCACAGAATCCAGTACACAGCAGGTGTGTAATCAAGATCCCTTGGAAGAGCAGGGGGTGAGGGGAAGGGCCTGAAGAACAGCAGGGGAATGCAGGGAGGAGGATGGGGTGAGGGGGCCAGCCAAATGGAAAGCTGGAAAGTGCATCTGAGGGAAAAGAAAAAAACAGGGAAAGAAGAGGAAGAGATGAAGAATCAGCATGTTGAGGATTTGGTGGGAGGGGAAAAGCAAGGCTGTCAGCCTGCACTAAATGGAACTGGGGAATTCAAGTTGACTTGAGTGTCCCATGGAGCTGGTGAGTGAGACGCTGCCTCCAGCCCTCCCCCTTGGGCTGCTTTTCAGAGTTGTCTGAACCAAGGGGTGGGTCAGAACAAGAGCCTAAGGATGAGATCAAGGATATCTCAGAAGTCTGAGGAATTTGAGAATAAGAGAGAGAGAGGAAGGAATTTCGAATTTTTTTCCCCCAGAGCTTGAATTTGAACTAGTATTGGAATAATCCAGAGAAAAGCGGCAGGAAGGCGCAAGCCATTGGCCCTGCGTGAGCCTGGACCAGCAGACCCCCAGCCTTTCAGCCTGAGATAGGGCTGCAGGAGAGGCTGGCATGTGACCCGGCTGGCAGCTCTCCCTTCCACACACAATGCTTCACTTTCAGCCGGTCTCTGCCAGCCTCGCTGCCTGGGCCACCCACCACCCTCAACGTGGCGGGGACCCTGCCCCGACTCCCACCTTCCCTAGCCATCTGGGAATCTAGAGAGCAGAGGCTCCCGCTAACGGGGAAGGCTTCCTTTAGAGCTGCTAGGACCCTAGGAGGAACTTCAGTGTTAATTCACAGCCAAGGGCGTCGCCTCACGCGCCTGACACGACGCTTTAGAGCAGATGAATAATGGCCCTTCTCCCCTGGGTAGCACCATCCCCCCCACACAACCTCCTTCCCCCCCCCCCCCCCCCGGGTTCTAGTCCCTCTCCTCCAAACCCTCTGTCCACGCGCTCACCTCACCCTAATCTTCTAAGTGTCGGACTGGCTTGGCCCCGGCTGGAGAACAGTGAGGACCGGGGCAAGCTGCACTTTTGGGTCCAGGTTAATTTTAGTCTCCGGGCTCTCTCTACTCCCTTCCCCTTCTCCTCCCCCTCTCCTCAGCACGCGCCTGCACTGCCCGGCCGGCGATTTTAAATCGGCCCCCCGACCTTTCCGCCGAGGTGTCCGGTTTCAGGGCTTCCTTCGGGAAGTGCTCGCGGAGGAGGGTGGAGAGAGAACAGAGCGAGGTGGGGCGGCACAGAGCGTCCGCGGGAGGGAGAGTGCCGGCCCACGCTGTCGTCCCCCCCCCCCCCCCCCCCCGCCGCTGCGCTGGCTGCAACCCCGCTCTCTCTGCCTTGCAGGTCAACACTGGACATATGAGGGTGAGCGCAGAACCCAAGGCCTTCCGCTCCCCCTTCCACACTGGGACCTCTTCACCTGCCGGGAAGACTGCTGTCGAGTGTGTGGGGAGTTCCCTTTAGTTTCTTTAGCTTCTGACCCTAGCTCCTCCTGCCCCCCCAGGCCCCCCGGCCCAACTTTTTACGTCAATGACTCCTAGACCCTGTTCTGTCAAATCCTGCCCCCACCCCTCCACCCCCACCCCCGATTCAGCAGAAAGACCAGTGATGTCCTCCGTCAGTCTGTGTGGGAATGAGGGAGCTGGAGTGGAGAGGAAACCAGGTAGGGAAAGGAATACTGAGCTTAGCTGCCCATCCACTTCCTGGCTCTTTTTCTGACCTCATAGATCCTCCTTGCATCTGGAATTGGGACAGAGCCTGAGGTCAGGGGTGAGGAAGAGTCTGGCAGGATAGTTGGTGACCCTGGTGGGGGTGTCCCCTGAACTGCTGACTAGCAAGCGAATTCCAGAGCCAACGCAAGGTCCTGTGTGAGAGCAAGAAATGAATGGTGGGAAGTCAGCAGAGGGAATGCAATCCCCAGGCCACTTCATAAGGGGGCTCCCAAGGAGACTTGCTCTTTCTAGGATCATTTTTCCCCCAGCTTTCCTGCCTCTGTTCTAGTCCCACCTCTCCAGGCATGCAGGTTTTCTATTCATCCCCTTTTCCTTTCATTCAGCTTTCTTGTCCCCAAACTACAGGTAAGTAAAAGCCACTACTCTATCAGGAGTAGTCTATGAGGAGAGCTGGGGAGTCCTCACTGCCTCAGGGAAGGTGAAGGGTGCTGCTGCATCAAGTCCAGCAGGGACCCCTGCCTCACCTAGCCCTGCACAACTGGGGTCTTCGCCAGGGTTGGGGGGTAGTTCCTGAAGGGTGGCTGGGGCTTGGAGGGTAGGACAAATGTCCGTGGTAATCCCCACCAGGCCCACATGGTCAAGACCACTGGCCAGCCTCTTACCCTGAGTGTGGAAGCAATGCCCAATCCCCCATCAATATCCAGACAGACAGTGTGACTTTTGACCCTGAGTTGCCCGCTCTGCAGCCCCATGGATATGACCAGCCTAGCACTGAGCCTTTGGACCTGCACAACAATGGCCACACAGGTAAAAAGCCCAGGCTCCAAGGAGGTGTAAACTCCAGTTCCAATCTTAGGAGTCAGGGAAAAGAAGCATTTGCCTAACTTCTAAATTCCTAGAAGGCTTCATCTACAAATTCAGACATGTGAGAATGGGGATGTGGTTCCTTAAAGCCAAAGGTGGGGAGTGAATGTCTACAATCAGGGTGGACTCAGCATCATAACATCAACTTGATCCTCACTGAGAAAGGGAGAGCTATGCTGGAAAAGCAGTGGTGGGAAGGACTGGGTGCTACTGGGGGAGGGAGGTAGAAAAGGCTGGCCCGAGTCTCCCAAGGAGCAGTGGCATCGGAGGGGTGGGAATGTGGCCACACTCCTCCACCAACCCTAGCTTGCTCTCTTTTCCTCACAGTGCAACTCTCTCTGCCCCCTACCATGTATCTGGAGGGACTTCCTCGAAAATATGTAGCTGCCCAGCTCCACCTGCACTGGGGTGAGACAGGGTCCCTGGGCGGATCAGAGCACCAGATCAACAGTGAAGCCACAGCTGCGGAGGTACCAGGGAGCAAGGCTTGGACTGGGACATAGTGACAGGCATGGTCGGTGCCAGAGAATGGAAGGATCTGGAAACTGAGAAGAGTCATACTTGGAGGATGAGGCCAGCCTTTGTGGGACAGGTTTAGGGCACGCTGGAGGTGGAGGTGGTGGTGGCTAGGGTCAGAGCTTTTGGGAAGGGGTAGTGGAGAAACATTAAATGATTTCATTCCCTCTCCTCTCCCTCAGCTCCACATTGTACATTATGATTCTGATTCCTATGACAGCTTGAGTGAGGCCGCTCCAAAGCCTCAGGGCCTGGCTGTCTTGGGCATCCTCATTGAGGTCAGTGGCCCCCAGTCCCTCCCAGGTCTCTCGCCCTCTCTGCCCCCTTCAGTCCTATTCTGCCCATGTCTTTTGCTGCTCTCCCTCCCTAGGCTAGTCAGCAACCCACTCTGACTGTTTACTCCATGTGTGAACGTCTTACTCCAAACACGGACTCATCCCCAACTCTCTCCCTTCCCAGGTGGGTGAGACCAAGAATCCAGTTTATGAACACATCCTGAGTCACTTGCATGAAATTAGGCATAAAGGTGAGCCTGAGATTAGACTTCAGGGGCACTTCCCCAAAAAGGCCTATGAAGCCTGGGATGACAATGAGTTAGGGGCCAGGGGCTTTGCTTCTGGGAGTGCTATCTAGGTAAGCTGGGGTACAGTGAGGGAAAGAGGAGTCCTAGTCTGATCTCCTCCAGATCAGAAGACTTCAGTGCCTCCCTTCAACGTGGGAGAGCTGCTCCCCCCACAGCTGGACCAGTTCTTCCGCTACAATGGCTCGCTCACCACACCCCCCTGCTACCAGAGTGTGCTCTGGACAGTCTTCCGTCGAAGGGCTCAGATTTCGATGGGACAGGTGAGTGGTGGAGAGGTGAGGCAGCAGAGACATAACCTCAGACCCTTTCCCACTCCACAAAGTGAGTGACACTTCTCCCTTAATCCCACTCTTCTACTCCTCAGCTGGAAGAGCTTCAGGAGACGTTGTTCTCCACAGAAGAGGAGCCCTCTAAGCTCCTGGTACGGAACTACCGAGCCCCCCAGCCTCTCAATCAGCGAACAGTCTTTGCTTCTTTCATCCAAGGTGACTGCATAGGGCTTGGAAAAGGAGATGGGAAATTGGGGGACTTGGTGGCAGGAACTAGGGAGCCTCTGGGAAGAAAAGGCAGGCTAGGACGGGAAGGAGTTTCTAGGACTTGCTTGGACTGGGAATACCCCCACCCCGAGCGCCAGGTGATGATCTCCCCCAGCATAGAGGCATAGTGTCCTGCTCCCAGCTGTGATGGGGAGCTCAAGTCCCACTGACCCATGTCTTCCTTCCTTACAGCGAGGGCCTCGTATACTACAGGTAAGACAGCCTGAACCAGGTGTGGGGGAGGGGAGTGGCGCTCCACAGTGAGTGAGGGAAGGTCTAAGTATCTACGTTAGTCCTAGGATGACATCTTCTGTGTTTCTCTCAGGTGAAATGCTGAGTTTAGGAGTGGGGATCTTGGTTGGCTGTCTTTGTCTTCTACTGGCTGTTTATTTCATCGCTAGGAAGATTCGGTGAGGTCCTACTTTCCATTCCTTTGGTCCTTTCTTTTCTACTGAAAATCACTCTATTCCATCTTTAATCTGTTTCACCTAGGACACTAGTCATTTCCATGAACCATTCCCCCTTCCAGGAAGAAGAGGCTAGGAAACCGGAAAAGCGTGGTCTTCACCTCAGCACGAGCCACAGAGGCATAGACTCCCTCACCGACATCATGGATGCCTTCCCCTCATGCCAATCAGGGAGCTTCTAAAATGAGCTGCAGGGACTGGCCAGAAAATACTGTAGGAGTAGTGGGCAGACACCCCTCCTTCCTCCAGACAGCCCCTACAGAGAGGCACGGACAGGCTCTTGTTCGTGGAATAAGAGCAGATAGCCTTCGACCTCTCAAAACCTATAGATCAGGACAACCCTATGTTGACAATGCAGACAGCAAACTGTGTTTAGTTGTAGGGGAAGTTGGGGATGTAACCCCCAAAGTCCTCCACCCCCTTACCTTTATGTCCTTTTCCCTAGATATAGGGCAGGACCTCCCCTTAGGAAAAAGACTTGTTGCTGTTGGGGTTATATTTTTTTGCTCAATATACCTGGAAATTAAAGTTTCTAATCCCACCTCTGGTCTTCCTTTGGGGCTTTTGAGAGTGGGGGAGTTCCTTAATCTCTCAGGAGGCAGAGGTGGGCAAAGGACAGGGGGAAAGAAGCATGGGTGAATAACTCTTTTTACCTCAGTCCTGCAAGGGGAGATCCGCCTCTGGAAAATACTTAACCCAAAGTTCCTGACATGTGAGACCATGAGCCCAGATTTCTGTCCTTGTACCAAAGCTATGCTGAAGGGGATCAGAGGTTGCCAGATAAGGAGGTTGGATAAGAGATGTGGGAGGACAGAAATCTCGATTAATATGTTATCCCCTCCCTTAAAAGCCAAGTTCCCCCACAATTATAAAGTTCTTTTTATTAGTCAAAATCACAATCACCTTGATTAAAAGGATGGAACATGCCATCCTCAGCAGAAAATGATACAGTTTATAGAAAACCTCCCCACCCACCCCCCCACACCCCAATTAAAAACTAGAAAAAAATCTGCCCTCCTTCCCTGTGATGTCATGGTAGTCTGACTTCTCCAGTGGCATTGCAGCTCTGGAGTGGGCCAGCTCACCGCAGCACCCTCCACTTCACCTTGGGGAGGGGAGGGATGCTGGTGGTCAAGGAGGTTAAAACATTAGTTCCAGTAATACCAGTTTCCCAAACATGCACTTCCTTCCTTTCCCCCAAGGCCTGGGACAAAGGGGAAAGGTGGACAGATATAAGCCCCACCATGAGGAGCAATTTGAGGAAGGAAAATATAGTTCAAGGAGGTTAGAAGAATTCCAACGCACCTCTTCCCTCCCCCATTCAAAAAAAGAAAAAAAGGAAGAAAGAAAAAGAAAGAAAGAAAGAAAGAAAGAAAGAAAGAAAGAAAGAAAGAAAGAAAGGGAGGAAGGAAGGAAGGAAAGAAAAGAAAAAAAGAAAGAAAAAGAGAGAAAGAAAGAAAAAGAAAAAGAAAAGAAAAACGCAGTTTGGGGTCTTTATCACACCAAAAATGGTTCCCCTCAGACCTGAGAAAAATACCAAGACGCCCAGTCTGGGGAGGAGGTACTGGGAAACTGAGAGCTCGTCTACCCTAGAGCCTCCATTAATTTCATCTCCACAGCAACAGCTAAACTAGGTCCCTTTTCTTGGCAACCTGCACTGTCCAGAACTGGAGATGGAGAAATACAGGGCGAGGAGATCAGGAGGGCACCCCAGGCCTAGGGGTTCCCCCCCACGTTCCCTCAGTCCTCGGGTGGGATGCGCAGGGCAGAATACACCATCACCCGACTGTCCTCCTGCCGTCGGCCTGCAGAGGGGAAGGGGGGTGAGTCTTGCGCAGGGTGAGGGCAGAGCACTGACACATGGGGAGTCCTGGACAACAAGGGGGTCCCCAGATGGTGGGGATAAGTACAGATTCAAACCCACCAGTCACTGACTGGCTGAACCCAGGCTGCTCCTGGTGAAGCCTAGAGACTAAAGGTCACGAGTGGACAAAGCAAAACCCTGAAGGTGGTGGGATAGACCGACGAGGAGACAGAGAATGGTGGGCAATGGACCCGGGCTAGGGCTGGGCTCAGTCATGGGCAGTGGGCAGGCAGGTGGGATCTGTCAGGCGATCAGTCCAGGTAGTCAGTCCTTACACGAGAGGCTGCGCTGGATACTTCGGAGGGAACCTCCAGCTGTGATGAAGGCCCAAAGGCCCATGGAAACAGTGACTGCATAGATGGGCAGCAGGCTGGCCTCGTACCAGGGGTTCAGGAATGTCTAGGGATGGGGTAAGGGTAGAAAAGAAGTTAGCTTCTCTCTCTGCCTAATCCCCACATTCTCTCCGTGCCTTTGACCCAAACCTCCCCCCCCCCCCCCGCCCCCGCCCCAGGTGGCTCACTCAAATCCCCCAGTCCTTCCCTTCAGGGCACCAACATCTTGTGGTTAAGAGGACTTTTGATTTTTAGCTCCCTCATAGGTTTCTGCCCCTCCTGCTCACCTCAGGCCATTTGTATTAGAGTTTGACTAATCCATTCAAACTCCTCCCGGAGCATCCCCAGAGCAGGTTATACAACTGATGCTGAGGTGAGAGACTTCTCAACACTTACCTCTCTGCCTGCTCCCTCGGTATATTTTCAAATGTTAAGAAGTGAGAATATATCTCCCCTCCATCCCACTCACCATTAAACTTTTTTCTCTCTAACTTGGGCCCATGTCCCCAACTCACCAGTCCCGAGGTCAGTAGGTGACTCCCAACCACCAGGCCCAAAGCCCAGTACCGTCTCCTCTCACAGGCATCAAAGAACACAACTCCCCAAAAGGTATGGAGCAGGATAATGGCTGCTGTCAGAAAGGCTGCGGGGAGGGAGATGGGGATGAGCTACATCCCTCATCCTCTCCCAGCCTCCTGAGATGTTGAGCCAAAGAGGTCTCCCAGTGAAGGCTAATACATCAGATCAGGGCCAGGGATGGATGGGGCATGAAGGCAAGACAGAAAGCAGGCCTTACCTGAAGTCAGGAAGTAATAGGGTGAGTCTCCATGGATGCCAACCACACCTGGCCCAAGCGCATCAGCCAAAATATTGATAACAGAGAAGACACCACTGATGATACCGAAGGAAAGACCAGAAACTGGAGGGAAGGAGGGTCTCATCAATGTCATAGATCTCTACAGCCTGATTACCAGTGATCCCACCCCATTCCCAGTCGCAATTCCCCCACACCTACTCTCCCTCCAGACCACCTCCTTGGAAGTCAGGTATGAAGGAAAAGCAGCAGCCACTTAGAACACGTGGTTGTTTTCGACTTCCCTGGGAGAGGGGGGTGTCCAACTCCCTCCTCCAGTCCCTCTCCCTTGGCTCACCATAGGCCATCTGGCGGATGGAGATGGGTGATCTTCCGTCCTCACTCAGCGATGCTAACCCCTCATCTGCCTTCCTGGGATGGGGCGGGGGTGGGGTGGGGTAGGGGAAATATGAGGGAGGGCAGTAATGCTCCTTTCCCTCTAACGTCCTCCCTTAGTGCCTCCTCTTCCAAACCCACCACCCAGGGGCTGCCCCACTTCTCATAGTGCAATCGTCTGCCCTTCTCCCCTCCTAACCATCCCATCTTCTTACTTAAGCAGCTTGTAGTAGGCAAAGCGGAACACCTCCTGTAGAAGGACAGAGACCGCAGCACCAAAAATCAGGAGGCCATACTGGAGCCGGGCATCTGACCGGTCGGTCACATGGACCAAGATGAACCAGACCACAGAGGCCAAGAGCAAGGAGACCAGCCAGAAAAATGCCCTGAGGAAAGACACGGGCAATCAGACAGGTCAGGGTAGGGAGAGCCAGGGAAATCAAGGAGGGGAACCAATCAAGGCTGCAGCATGGAAAGTGGAAGTTAGACTTCCGGATGGTCAGGGAGACTGGGAAGAGACAGGATCGGTGTCTCCACCAAGGGGGTCGTGTAGGGATCTGGACCGGGGGAAGGGACAGAAATCTGATTAATGAGTCTTCAGAGCGATGAGAGCCAGAATGTACGCGCACAGTAGGGAGAGGTATCCATTCCTGGATCCTCCCTTAGGCCGGCGGAGGTCAGCACACCCCCCCTCACGAGTCTTGGCCTTGGGCCTCTTCTGACGTCGCCGGGAGGAGTATAGGAGGAATCTGTGCGATCCCTGGAAGGCGGAAACCAACTGCGGGAAAGGGCAAATCATCTAGACCCCTGACTCGACCCTTTCCAATCTTCACCTCCGACTTGTCTCCCCCAACTCAGGCTCCCAAGCTCGCCCAGCCCCTTCCGGATCTCTCTCTCTGGCGCCCTCCCGCGTCTTGTCGACCCCCTACTCACCCCGCGACCAGGATGATTACGCGAAGAGGGTCCCCAGCCACAGTGATCAAGAAAAGCGCAAAGGCCGGGCCGAAAGCGACGAAAGTGCATCCGAAAAACACTGCGGCCCCCATGGCTGGGCAACCGGGGGCGGGGTGGAAAGCCTGGCCAAGAGGGGTGGATAGGGGGAGGACGCCAGCTGGGGAGTCCGCTTGGGGTGGCGACGCGACCCCGTGAGGGGCGCGGTGCAATGTCACCCCCGGACCCCGGGGAAGGGGAGGGGGGACACCGAAACCCCAGATACAGGTCCGCGCGACTTCCTCTACGGAAGCCGAGGAGGGAACAAACCCGGCCGCAGCCCCATGGCCACCTCCCATCCAATCCCCACCCCCCGAAGGCCAACGGAGAATCGGCGGGGGCGGAGCTGCGGGGGCGGGGCGGCACTACCTGCTGGGAGTTGTAGTCTTTCTGCCCTACTGAGCTTTCGACCTGGGTTCCGGGAGTGGCTCGAGCGGGTGAAAGGAGGGAGTGGGTCGGGACTGGCCCGGGTTCATGGGTCTGGTTGGGCCTTGGCTGCGTCTTCCTTTCGTTATTTTGTGGGGGAAGGGTAGTGGCAATTCTACGTCTTCTTGAAGAGCTGCAGAGGGGGGGAAGATCCTGTTGGAACCTAAAGGACAAATACAAAGAAAGCACAGGATAGAGGGTGCAGGGAGATAGGGACGGGTATTGTTCTTACTTGAATGAGAGGAAACGAGCTTGAGCTACTGCCTAAGAGATGAAGGTTAGACTTAAAAGTAAGATTCTTTCAACGGGCTAGTAGAGGAAACATGCAATTCAGTGAGTATATCCCTAATGAAGCCTTCATCTGTCATGACCAGAGAATCGGAGAGAATAGGAGCCTGGAGAGCAATGTTAGGAAGGAGGTTACATGGGATTTGGTGTTAAGATTTCAAAGTTAAGACTCTTTGTAAAAAAGCAATTCGAGCTATGGGGCTGAAGGAAAATCACACATACACACACACACACACACACACACACCAGCCAAGTCACACAGTTCCTTTTAGGTCATACTTCCTCCGTTTATTTTCTGAAAATGAACTCAGTGGTGTCTTTTCTTCAGGCTAGGGGAAGGCACAGTGGTTGTGTGTATTAGAGTGAGAGAAAATTAAAATAGAAGAGGGTATTGTAACCTCATCTGGATGGGGCAAAGGTCAGTCTTTAGGGAGGATATTTAGGTAAAAGAGTACCAGAATGGGAAGGTGAGGAAATCTGGAAAATTGTTTTTGAGAGACTAATCAAAGTACCAAAAAAACATAGAAATTGTTCAAAGAGAACCAGGTTTCCTTTCCTTCCTGGAAGTGATTTATGACTTAATGCATATGGGTACATCCACATAAGCATTTTACATTTTTTTCCAGGAAGTTCTTAAAAGGAGCTGAAGGAATAGATTGTATAGATACATGGAAAATCACCATCACCAAGCAAATCCTCCCCCCCAAAAGGCTGAGAGGGTGGAAACATCCTGGCCAGTGCTCAAAACTCCAGTGTGTCTTGCTTCTGAGTCAGGGGAGGTGGCCAAGTCAGGGGAGGTGATAGGAATAAGACAGCTCTTCTTATCTCTCTTCTGAGTATTACCACAGCATCTTCTGACTGATGAGAGCAGGCGCCAAACCTATCTTGTCCACCGGTGGTTCCACAGAGACTCTCATAGCGCCTGACTCTTAGTAGATGTTGAATAGATATTTATTAACTTCCTCTTAAAAAAACATAACTACTCTTATTCCCTTGCCAGTGGACCCTGAATTGCCTATCAGACTAGGCCTAGCATATACATTACTAAATGTTTCTGAGTTGAATCAAATGAAAATGGGAAATATAAAAGCAGAGAGAAGAGTGAGATGAACTCTAGCCCTGTGGGCTGGAATGGAGAGAGCATACCAAGTGACTGAAAGTGGGAGAAGGGGATAGCATCTACATGGGAAAAGAGGCTGTTTCCTCCCTTCTTCCATCCTGTATCCAGAAAGGAGAGAAAGAAATGAAGTGAGGTCAGTACTTACCAGAGAGGAAATAACTAGTCTTGGCTGAGAGATTTTTATCAGAAGTAATGTAGTAAGTGCTTTGAGTGTCAGACAATGATGTTGATGTTACTCCTGTACTTCATAGTCCAGGATAGGCAGAGGAGAGGGAATTTTTTCGATCTAGAAAAAATGCTCATCCCTTCCTCAGAACATTTTGACTGTGAAGAGAGATTGTGAATAAGCCTCGACTCTGCTTGGCGATGGTAAGTTAGGGACAGTGAAAAGGAGGGTGAACTTGTTGTGAGGACTGAGGAGGGAAGAAGGAGAGGAGGGGAGACAGGAAGCTCCCAGATAGGCTGGGGTTTTTTGTTTTGGTTTGGCTTTTTGCTTGTTTGCTTGTTTTGGTAGTGGCAGCGGGAGTCCTGAATGGATCTAATCTAGGGCTGGGGGAGCTCAGTGAAGCCGGTTCGCATCAAAACCCACTTTGCCTCTCTTAATCTGGGCAGATCTGGCTGACCAGTAAAAACTGATGATCTAGTCCAACAGCAAGTGGGTGGAGAATTCTACCCCCTGGGAGAAGAGTTGCAGCAGCGTTGGAGGAGGGCAGAAGGCGGGGTAAATTTGGTGAGAAACTCTGTAATTTCCTTTTTTACTTTCACAGCAATAGTGCAGAATCCAGAATGGATGTCCTCTTCGTAGCCATCCTTGCTGTGCTACTTATCCTGGGTAAGTTCACTTCTCTCCCTGAGCTTTTGGGCTAGGTCTTCTATCATAAGTGGGGTGGGAGAAAAGAAAAATGAGGAGAGGGTGAGAGGCGCAATTTGATGGGGAGTGATAACACACATCTGTGCCAGAGTCCAGTGTTAGGGCGGAGTGGGGGGTGGGATCTGGAAAGTAGAGCCGGGAAAAGGGACAGAAAGCAGAGTCCTGTCAAAGAAGAAACAGCTGATGTGGACGGAGTCCCGGACACTTGGAGGTCCTAACAAGTCACCTCAGCTCTCCGACACCACAGAGTTGTACAAGATGGTGAGGGATTACAGAGAGGGTGGAGGAGAGAGGTGGACTCTTGGAAGGTGGGGCAGTCTGAAACTAGTGAGAGAAGCCAGGGTATCTTCTTTCCCAGAGGGCCAGAGAAAAAACCGTTATATTAGTAAGAAAACAGAAATGGGGGGTGGCCTTTAGGGTAGTGGAGAACTGGCCTCCTCAAGGAGAGAGTCCCAAAAGTAGCTTGGCTCCTTCCCTCCTTTGTTCCCAGTCTGCCAGGTACTCTCATTGTTTCCTTTTCCTCCAGATTTGTGTGTCATTGCCTGGGGTTCGGGGAGAGCATTTAAGGAGCTTAGGGAAGTGTTCAGTAGGAGGCCTGGAGTCCTTGATCTATATATTTAGTCCTGGGAAGGAAGAAAAACTAATGCAGATGGATCATTTAGTCCAGCTGACTCATTTTAAGAGAGGAGATGTTAAGTGGCTTCTTCAGCATTATTCTGCTAGTTAGCAGTGAATCCGGAACTAAAACCCAAGTCCAGTGATGAACATTGGGGAGGGTGTGTGCTATGGTGAGCGCTGTGAATTGTGTAAGACTGATAAATCACAGACCTGTACCCCTGAAACAAATAATACATTAGATGTTCATAAAAAAAAACAATAAACTAAAACCCAAGTCCAAAAGCCTCATCACAGATATGGAGCCCCAAAGACCGAGAAGGGTTTAGAGGTACACAGGCAGTGAGATAGTAAGACCCTTGAAGGGGGGGCAGAGAGAAAAGAAATTGATAGAGCTGAGGTCAACTTCAGGTGTCCTTCCCTTGCTAAGGAGTTCCAGATGCCCCCTGACTTCTAGTCCTTGTCCCCATAGGACAAGAACATGAGGATGGAGAAGGACTGGAAGAGGATGATTATTATCAGGTGATCTATTATTACACAGTCACCCCCAATTATGGTGAGTATGTATAAGGCTCTGACGCATAGCAGGATGGACAGAGATTTTGGGGATACTTAGTTCTGAGACTTTGCCTTTCTCTTTGCAATTGGAACAACTAGATCAGAGAGAAACTCAGCTATGAGCAAAGACCTTATCAAGGTTCATAATGTTATTTCTCAAGCTAGCGATTTTCAGTTCTTTGGAACCTGGTTGAAACGATTTGAAGATTTTCAAATTTGTAAATTATTTTAGATACCAGGTTGAAAATATAAATGCAGATACATTCACAAACATTTTTAACATTAAAGTTCATTAGAATTAGATTACACCAGTAAATTTTACAACTTGAGCAAGTTAAAGTATTCTGAGCAATTTCTTCCTCTTTCCATTTCTAGACCTACTGCTACCTTTTTTGTTTGTCATTACTGATTTTTTTCTCCTCCCCAGATGACTTCGGTGCAAATTTCACTGTTGATTACTCCATGTTTGAATCTGAGGACAGACAGGTGAGTGACCTCTACATCTAAGAGGGTCGGGATAGGTAACAGTTAAAAAAGAAACTGAGCAATATTGAAATATAAATGATTAGCAGGAACACAAATGAGTTAGGTGAAATGGAACTGGGAAGTCCCAAAGCATATATGTTAACCACAGTTGGGGAAGAAAATAAAGCCAGAACTCAGTAGGTTTGCTAAGACATTGAGAGGGAGGGGCAGTCCTTGAGTCAGGGGAATTGGTGAATGGGATGGGTACATAATCCATGCAAACATAAAGTAGGGAGGATTCCTGAGCTTAAGTTTGGGGGATGGGGGCTGCAGGAGAGAAGGAGTCTAAATAGAGAAACTCTGAGGATGTTGGATGGAAGCAATGATAACTGTGTTTTTTGATCCTACTGAGGGCAGAACAGGTTGAATAAGGAGGGAAGGGAAGCAGCAGAGACTACCATTAGTCATGAAACAGAAGGTGCAGACCCTCAGAAGCCTGAAACAATGGAACCAGTGAGTGGATTGGGGATGGTGGGACAGGGCAGGGAGGGGGGTGCAGACCCCAGGGCTGGTGACATAGAACAGAGGGAGGGCTGAAATAATAGGCTTCGGTGGAAGAAGGAACCAAATAACTAATATAGCAATGCAGGTGTCTAGCTCAGCTTGGCCATCATACCTCTCATTGAGATTTTTTTTTTAGTTGTTTTTATTTATTTATTTATTTAAAAGATTTTATTTATTTATTTGACAGAGAGAGACACAGCAAGAGAGGGAACACAAATGGGGGGAGTGGGAGAGGGAGAAGCAGGCTTCCCGCGGAGCGGGATGCGGGGCTCGATCCCAGGACCCTGGGATCATGACCTGAGCCGAAGGCAGACGCTTAACCGACTGAGCCACCCAAGAGACCCTAGTTGTTTTTTTTAAATTAACTTATTTATTTGAGAGAGAGAAAGAGAGCCAGGGGAGAGGCAAAAGGAACAGGGAAAGAGAGAATCCTCAAGCAGATTCCCTACTGAGTGTGGAGCAGATGTGGGGCTCGATCCCAGGACCCTGAGATCATGACCTGAGCAGAAACCAAGAGTCAGCCACTTAACTGACTGAGCCACCCAGAAGCCCCTCCATTGAGATTTAATACTAACCTTGTATTCAGAAAACTGGGGAGATTTGGTACAGTTAAATTTCAGTTCAATAGTACTTAAATGTGTATGTAACCTATGACTAAAACTGTGAAGGAGGGTGCCTGGGTAGCTCAGTCCATTAAGCGTCTGCCTTCGGCTCAGGTCGTGATCTCAGTGTCCTGAGATGGAGTCCTGCATCGTGCTCCCTGCTCAGCGGGGAGCCTGCTTCTCCCTCTCCCTCTGTGCTTTCTCTCCCTCTCTCACTCTCTTTCAAATAAATAAATAAAAATCTTTAAAAAATAAAAAAAAACTGTGAAGGATGCTGATGATGATGAAAAGGAAATCTATGATGTTGTTATTGCCCTCAAAGTATTTATAAAACCCAAGTTCAACACTTACAAAACATTTAGAACAAAATGAAAAGGTTCATAACAAAGTTCAATTACATATAAATTTCAGAGCATATGACATAGGCAAGTGTTTTAGTCAGTGGAAGGACAGAAATCAGTATACACTGGAGTTGCCTGGAAGACTTTTAGAAGATGACTGTGTTTGAGATAAACTTGGAAGGATAGGTAAGCTTTTGAGTGGCAGTAAGTTATGAAAGTATGAAAACAATTAGAAGGAAGAATCGCAGATAAAAGAGCAGCATTGGTGAGGGGATGGAATAAGCATGGCATGTTTAGTGGGATAGGGTATGATTGGAGGAGAAGGTGTATGGGAAGGAACAGCGGAAAATTAAGAAAAAAATTAAAATTTATAAGGCTCCTAATACTCGCTTGATTATTTCACATAGGTAAGGCAATAGGGCTGAATCACAAGAGAATCTGAAGTGTCAGGCTGAAGTCTGGACTTAGATAAGCAATGGGGGAGCCTAGTAAGTTCTTCAGTGTGGTAAAGATACAGTGAAAGTGGTATTTTATTTATTTTTTTAAGATGTTATTTATTTATTTGACAGAGAGAGACACAGCGAGAGGGAACACAAGCAGGGGGAGTGGGAGAGGGAGAAGAAGGCTTCCCGCGAAGCAGGGAGCCCAATGCGGGGCTCGATCCCAGGATCCTGGGACATGACCTGAGCCAAAGGCAGACACTTAACGACTGAGCCACTCAGGCGCCCCGAAAGTGGTATTTTAGAAAAACTATTTGTTGTACGCAGGATGCAACAGAGTGGAGAGAGATGCATGAGATTTACATCATTCTGGAAACAATCCATTAAAGGCTTGGACTAGGGAAGTAGCATTTTGAAGGGAGAGGAGAAAAATAAGTATTTTGAAGAAAATGCAATGAGCAGCAAATGAGGAGAGAGTTGAAATAGCTTACAAGTTTTGAATATGGATGTCTGGGGAAATGGCTGACCAAAATAGGAACTGTGAAAGGTCAGAGTGGTTTAGGACTGAACGTATAAATTAGGTACTGGTCAAGCTGAATTTATGGTGACGGTGTCCAAAGGTAGCTGAACTAGGTCAGAGCTGCAGTTCTAAGTGCAAAGTCACAGTTACGAAAGTAGACAAGCTCAACAGAGCTGGTACACAGAAGACCAGAGGCCAATGACTGTGCCTGTAGTTAGTAGGAAGAAAAGGAATCAACCAGGAAAATGGAGAAGAATTGATTGAAGAGGCAGGCAGATAGCCAAGTCTGTATTATAGAATCTAGAAGATAAAGTTTAATATAGTCAATAAAAAGCGACCAAGAGTCCAAAGAAAAGGAGGTCATTGGTAGCTCCAAAGAAGTAAGTTTTAATTGAGTGGTTGAGCAAAAGTTAGGTTTTGTGGAGTTAGAGAGGGAGTATATTGTGAAGAAGGAAAGGGAGAGTGTAGACCAATCATCTGAGAAATCTGGTAATAAAAAAAAGAAGCAGCCGCCAAAAAGGGCAAGAGGACCAAAGTATAGCCTGAATATAGTTGAACACAGATGGGAGGAGTCAGTAGGAATGGAAAGCTGGTGATTGATGACAAGGACAGGGAAAGATTTTAAGGTACATAGTAGGCTCCATTTAGATTGTAAACTCTCTGAAGAAAGGAGGGAGGTCTTAATCACACTTATATCCTTGCTGTAGCACCTAGCACAGTGACTAAGCTTAGTGTCATGCACATAACAGATAAAAAATACACATGGTTGAATTGAGTTGATCCTCCCCGATATGCTCCGGAGGCTGAAAGGCACAGAGGAAAGGACTCCTCATAGTTATGGGGAGGAGAGCTGGATCTTTCTCTAAGCTCCGAAGAAAGGAAGACGGAGGTTGGTATAAAGAGATGGCTATCCTTCCAGAGGGGGAGGAGGGATGGTAGGAAGGATGACGCTGGCCTACCGTGGGGGGATGTCTGTATTTTAGCAGAGTCCAGATCTGAACGATGCTGTATCCAGTCTGCAGAGTCCTGTTCCCCTCCTCCTGTCCTGGGCCCTCGTTCAGGGGGGCATATATTTCATGTAGAAGGTGAGAGTGCAGCCACTGGCCTTGGGGAGTCCGTGAAGTAACCTTTTCCCAATATCTCTGGCTAGTGTTTCCAGCCTGGTGAATTCTCAGCTGCTTAAAGGACAAGGGATCCCATTTAGAAAAATCTTATCTAATTTTAAAGAGGTTTAGGAGATGTTGAGGCAAAGACTTTTCAAACAAGAGTCTTTACTTTTTTCTGAACTGGGATGACTTCAGGACCTCCTACAGCAGAAGCAGGTGAAACAGGGAAGAAACCTCTCCAGATTTCCAGTCTGACTTGAGGAATCAAAGCTGGTTCCAGCCAGGAGGTGGTTTAAGATATGGCAGTTGCCAGAGGGCATAGTGGGAGGTGCCCTACAACCTGGCAGAGTGAAGAGGCAAAGTTCAGAGGCAGAAGGGGTGGCGGTTGGTTCCCTACAGTAGAGGAGAGTGGTGGAGGCAAGCAGGAGGGAAGAGAAGCCTGTACTGTAGGAAAGGAATTTAAAATTGGGATTCTAAAAAAACTATTGGGGGGGGTGGGAGGGGATGAAGAGCTTTACCAGAGGAAGGAGTGAGGAGGGAAGGGGACACATCTTCCAGGAGATGGGAGAAATATAGCCCAGAATATGAAATCTGGGGAGTTTTCATAGAGGTGGGGGGCCACGAGGGGCTTCCTGAGCCACCTGAGCCTATTTTTCCCTTTCTTTCCTTTTTTAGGAGAAAGAAGGCTGCTACAACTCTTTGGATGGGGATTTGGGAAGAGGAAATTGGAAGATAAATAAATGAAATAATCTGGTTACTGTCTACTCCTTCGTGAGGGTCTGTTCTAATCTCACAACGCTAAAGAGAGCACCAGGATATGGGGATAGGAAGGGTAGATTAGAAAGGGAGTTAGGTGGCAGTAGAATTAGAGGGAATAATTAGGACTGTGAATAAACCTGAACTGTTGTGAAGAATGGAGAAGAGCACCAACACAGTTAACTTCATCTAATTCTAATATTTTATTACACATGGTGTTGAGACAGCGTGTTTGGGAAAAGAGAGTTGAGGTTTATGTAGAACACTTTTTTCTTTTTATAAAATAAGCACATTGTTAAACATATGTAAAATATTAAAAACTACTTAGAATAGATCTTAAAAACTCACACCCTCCTCCACTTACACCCCCAACCCCCAACAATGTGCCTTTTCCAGCGCGTAATTAGGGCAGGCAGGGACATACTTTAATTCTTCCTCTGTCCTCGAGACCCTAATCAGAGCTGGGCTGCCCCCTTGCGGTCGCTTCGGTGTCACAGCCTCAATCAGCCCACGGTCCCTGAGCCCCTATCCCCTTCGCCGCACTGTACTTTCAGTACTGCAAGGGGCATTGAATAGTAAATTCCGGACTCTGTCAACTCCGGACTTGCCACCTTCCCTCCTTCCAAGCCTTTCGAATCTTCTCCAGGGAACAAATAAAGGCAATGAAGCTGGACAAAGGTATAATCTAGGAAATCAGGGACCTACCCATACTCCTTTCCCTGCGCTAGGAATCCGAGGACCCCGGATAGAAAAGTCAGGAACAACCGAGTTCGTCTTTGACCTCTAGAGTCGTGGCTGGCTGGCATCTGAGCTGGTAACGTGCGTGGCGGGTTATGTAAGGAAAGGGCCGGAGGAGCCGCCCCAGTGGGAGTGCGCGAGAGGACGCGGTGTTCTCGGCAGCAGTCCCCACCCTCCTCACCCAGCAGGGCAGGAGGCACCCAACTTGTAGAAGGAGGAGGCGGAGAGGGTGAAGCAGAGACCCGAGAGTCACGAGGGCCGCGCGGCCCAGAGGGGGAGAGGATGGATACACAGTGGCATACATCCATTCTCTCACACACGTTGCAGACCCAAGTTGCTGACGGCTTCCACGTGCTGCCCTCGTGAGAGGAGGCGCTCGAACGGGAGGGGGGCCGCGGCAGGGGGAGGGCGTCTGCTACCGAGGACGAGCCCGGAGTCCCACATCCCAACACGCGCGCCTCAGATCGCACAACCAGTCTGCACACTCCAACCGCACGTCTCCTGCCCACCATCATCCTATTTAAGGCCTCGGGCTCCGCCCTTTTCCACTCTTTTTCCATCCTCCTCCTTTTCTCATCACCGGGTCCGGTTCGCAAGCCGCATGTAGGGGCGGGGCACGGAATGCTTCCCTTCCAGCCAATCGTCACCTACCAGCGTCTCTATTGGCCGAGCCCCTGGAGGCTGTAGCAAATGGGATGTGAACTTCAGGAACAAGAGTCACGTGCCACTGGCCAGTCAACCAATGAGGGTGCGAGGTCTGTGTACGCAGGGGGAAGGCACGTGCCCAGCCGCACGTGTCTGGGAGGGGGAAGGGGCGGGACCCAGTGGGAGAGAGGCGGAGGTGGGCAGCCGAGACCCGCAGAGTTGGAGAAGGAGCAGGAGACAGCCTGGGCTGAGCCGACCGATACAGGTGAGGAGGCTTGCAGGAAAAGGAAGCGATCCGCGCGAGAGGATCAGACCCGGAGGGGGTAGGTTTAGGGACCGAAAGCAGATCTTGGAACTGGGAAGGATAGCATCACGTGGCAGGCGCGACTGTAGAGGGTCCCGGCTCAGGGATCCGGATCAGAAAGATTGGGAAGAGGCGTGAGGTCCCTGTGGGGAGTGGTCCCTACAGGGTCACTGGGTGGGTTGCCGGAGATTTGGGGCTCTCCAGTAGCCCTCGCTGCGGGGTCAGGCTGGGAACAGACCTGGCGAACAACTGTCAGGGGAAGGTGTCAAGTAGGGTAATTTACTCTGAACAGAGGGGAGTAAAGAACAGAGTCTGTGTCAGACTAAGAAGCTGTTCTGCGGAGGCCAGAGGGGCAGTCCAGGTTTTTAATTGAGGGGGGCAGGCGGAGGAGATGACTTTTTCTATAGTCTCTGAGACATGTAATGCTGGGGAGGAGAGAAGAGGTATTATCGTCCCATACAGTACACCCCAGTCTCCCGGTCCATTTCCTAATTTCCAGATTATGGTTACAAACTCCCTCGCTTTGCTCTTCAGTTGCAGGTTCCGATCATCGTTGGGTACTCCCGGAGTTGCTCTCCAGCACCTGCTTCTGAACCTATGGATTCTCCAGCTAGCATTTCTTCCTGTTCTTCCTACTCTCTCTCTTCCTCTTTTTCCACCTCCCCAGGGAACAGTGACTTTGGCCTCCCCTCCGATAGTGAGGGGGAGGACAAGGCGGCCCGTGGCCCCAGGTCAGACCCTGTTGGGCAAAGGGGAGGTTCTCGGCCCAGCCCCGGTCCTATCCGGTGCAGGCAACGGCCCAAGATTTCCAGCAACCAACATACAGCGTCTCACTTGGAACAGCGGGGCCTGGCTTCTCCCATGGCAGGATCTGGGGTCAAAAGAACAAGAGATGGTGGATTACAGACCAACATGATCATCCAGGGTTGTACCACAGAAGGAGACCTGCTTTTTGCTCAGAAGGTAAGAGAAAGCAGAGGAAAGTCGACAATACTGGAATGGCTTAGCACCCAGATGGTTAGTAAGGACCCAATGAAGAGAGTGTTGGTTCCCAGATTTGGAGGTGGGGAAGAACAGTACTGTAGGGGCAATTCTCAGTCCTTTCATAGCCTTTGTCCTGTTTCCCTACAGTGTAAAGAGCTTCAAGGATTCATCCGCCCTCTCACAGACCTACTGAATGGGCTGAAGATGGGTCGATTTGAGAGAGGTAATTATCTGATTAATTGCAATTATCTGGCTAGGTTCATCTCTTTCTCTTTCTCTCAATGTTTTAAATGTGTATTTCTCTTAAATCTTTACAGCCTACATTTTTACTTTTCTGCCTCTGTGATTTAATTTCTTTTTTTTTTTAAAGATTTTATTTATTTATTTGAGAGAGAGAGAGAGAGCACATGGGGGGGGGGGGGTCAGAGGGAGAAGCAGACTCCCCGCCGAGCAGGGAGCCCGACGCGGGACTCGATCCCGGGACTCCAGGATCATGACCTGAGCCGAAGGCAGTCGCTTAACCAACTGAGCCACCCAGGCGCCCTGTGATTTAATTTCTTTAGGTGAATTTATTTTAACCCTGTTCTTTCCTTCCTTTACCTGACTAAAGTCTTGAATCTCAACCCTTGATGTCTTTCTCTCTCCCTGACCCCAGGATTGAGCAGTTTCCAGCAAAGCGTGGCAATGGATAGAATCCATCGTATTGTAGGTGTTTTGCAGAAGCCACAGATGGGGTAAGTTCCCCTGGTTCTTTCCTCAGTACTTCATAAAAAAGGAGATATCTACAATCCTGTCTTGTTGCTTTTTCACACTTAATGGCTTTTTAAAGAAATGTCTTTTTCACAGGGAACGTTACCTAGGAACCTTGCTACAGGTAGAAGGGATGTTAAAGACTTGGTTTCCTCATATAGCTGCCCAGAAGTCATCACTGGGTAATAGCAGGCACCAGCTGACCAAGGTAAGAACTTCTAAAACTGAGGGGGAGATGGGGATATAAGGAAACGAAGTGTACCTGCAAAAATGGGTTCCTTCTGTTTTCTCTTGAGTCTTTTACTCTTTTCCAACAGGTTTCTTTTCAGGGGAGGGAATGCCTCACCTTCCTTCATTGTCTTGATTCCTGTATGGTTTTTGTTCTATTTTGTTCTGATCACTACAAAGAACTCCATGAAGTTTAACCCTATCCCTCATGTGCAGCTTATCTGCTTTCTGCATAGATACAGAAGGCTTTTTGCCTGGCCAAATGAGTCATGCAGGAAGAGTCCTTAGCTTTTCTCTACAATTCCTTTCTCCTCTGTTGCCCTAAAATTCTTTCCTTCTCCCTCTTTTTACTCCTACCCAAGTATCCTTGTACCAAACCCTCTGGAAGTGTGGGCTTCAAGGACTGGTCATAACAGGTATATCACTGGGAGGGGAGGAGGGCACCCAGGGGGCACCCACAGAAGGAGTGTTGGATAGATTCTTAGACCCGTTTGGAAGTGACCTATTTTTTGTGCCTTTAAACAATAGGGTATTTATGGGGTACTCAAATTACAGGGAGGGTAAAGTCTCCTATAGGTAACGGACAGTCCTTCTTGTATTCAATCAACCACAGTTATTATTGCTGTGGGAATAACTCATTCAAAAATAGGCAGGAGGATCTTGCCTGCATATTAATTTATATTTCTTGAGAAACTCAACAAAGGGAAATTAAAATTTTAAATGCAGAAATTGGAGAATGATGATTCCAACTAAAAATAGACTTTTAAAAAAGAAGTTCTAAAATGAATTATTTTATAAATAGTGAGAACCTATGGGACTGTTTGTTTTATTTCGCCTGTCTGGATGTCCAGTGCCTGATATAATGTGTGGTACATAAAAGCCTTCAAGTATTTGTTAAGTAAATGAAAGTATAACTAGGTTACTAAAACTTTTAATCATCGCCTGGCAGAAAATGAGCTGTTGCATAAAACTAGGTATGTTTGCATTGCAAACAGAGTCCCCCAGGAAAGAAAAGTTTTAAGCAACCTAGTGGAGTTAATCTGAAAGCTTTCTCACATGTTTTTTTTTCTTCTCGTCTCCCCCTTCTAGCATTTTCCAAGCCACCACAGTTACTCAGCTGCTTCTTCTCCTGCACCTCCAATGGAAAAGATGGACCAGACACAGCTAGGACATCTGCTGTTGAAACCAAAGCAGCCTTGGCACCTCACTGAATGGCCAACCATGCACCTCACTTGGATCCACACCACTCCAATTTGCAACCCCCCCCTCAGTTCCCCAGGTACCATTTCCTTTAGCCATGGTCCTTTAGGCACTGGAGCCAGCATTGGTGTCATCCTTTTTGTCCAGCACGGAGTGCAGCCCTTCACCCACTCTCCCCCAACCACTCCAGTTCCACCTGCTACAGCATCTGTGGTCATCCCTGGTGATCCTAAGAAGCTCTCCGGAGAGGGACCTCTTTGCCACAGTTTGCCAGTAACTCTGCCATAAGCCTGGAGCTATACCCTATCTGGTCCTGGTCTACCCACCATGGCCAGAGAGATGACTGTGGGACATTTAGAGCAGATGAGAAGCCATCCTCCAGTTGCTCCTGATGTCCATTTTCTCAACCCCTAATCCAGGACTTGAGACTGTGGTTTCTAATTTGTGTAAATATATGTCTCTCTCATATATATTTTTTACTTTTAATGTGTGCATTTGTGTTGAGGGAAGAGAAGTCCTTTTTGATTAAAGAAACTTTATACCTAAAGAGTTTGTTGATTAAAGGAAGTTGAAACTTTCTGCTTAAAATACCAATATTGATCCTCTGAGCAGCAGAGGAGAAGAAAGGGGATGGGAATGTTTGTGACAGTGAGCTCCAGCAAGTTAGAAGTCTGGATGGGATGATAGAAATCCTGTGGAGAGCAAATGAGACTCTGCTGCTGGCTTCCTAGGGACCAGTTACAGGGTTCAGAAAACTTCCTGGGACAGTTACAGGGTTCAGAATTGAGCTTGTGTTTTCATTTAGTCTCAGAGACTAGTACCTTTCCCTTTTGTACTCTTCCAGCTGGCCCAGACTAGCAGGTTCTTCTGCTCTGGGATAGCTCTTTGCTTTGATGGGAGCTATTGATGCTTGTGGATAAATGCGTATGTCATCTACTGCGGCCAGAGGAGGGACACGAGAGCCAGAACAGCCACTGTGGTTGCCAGTTTTGAAGAGGAAGGGGTGCCCTAGAACTGTCATAATGGGGAGTCTCCTCACATGCAGAGCCACATCTTGATTCAAAAAGCTGCAGGAGGGGCGCCAAGGTGGCTCAGTTGGTTAAGCTTAAGCATCTGACTCTTGATTTTGGCTCAGGTCACGGTCTCAGGATTGTGAGATCAAACCCCATGTTGGGCATGGAGCCTACTTGAGATTCTCTCTCTCCCTCTCCCTCTGCCCCTCCCCCACTAAAATAAATAAATCAATCTTAAATTTAAAAAAAGCTTGCGGCTAAGCGTGTGCAAGGCTAAGGAAAGCTACCTAGTGTTATCGGGAGGCAAACATGAAAGTCTGTGAATTTATCTGCATCTGCCCTTCTCTGTATATCACTCTGACTTATTTGTCCCAGTTTCCACCGAAACTATGTCTTCTCCCATCCTAAGTCTTGGCAGTGTATCAGACTACTTGGTCATTTTAGTTACTGTTTATTGGCTACTTAGCATGTTTCTCACAGCTGGTTATACATCTTTCCCCTATTTCTCAAGTCCTCCATTCTCAGGGAATAATTGTCTCTTGATTTCAGAGAACATGACCTCCTTTCTCTTCTATTTTATTTTATTTATTTGAGAGAGAGCATGAGCAGAGAGAGGGGCAGAGGGAGAGGGAGAAGCAGACTCCCTGCTGAGTAAAGAGCCGTGGGGCTTGATCCCAGGACCCCTGAGATCATGACCTAAGCCAAAGGCAGATGCTTGACCAACTGAGCCACCCAGGCGGCCCACATGACCTCCTTTCTAAGGCAAACCTCTCCATTTGTGCTCCTGATTACCTTTCTCCTCTGGAACTTTTGCTGTATCATTTATCCCTTCTTTATCTTGTAACTTCACATTGTTCTTGAATTATTTATTTATTTATTTATTTCTCCTACAAATAATATTTATTCCTCCCATAAGTGGGATCAGGTCTCTCCCTTCCGGAAAACATCTCTTGAGTCTGATTGTCCTCTTTCTTATCTTTTCCTCATATTGTTGACAGTCTAATCTTTCTGACTCCTTTCTACCACTCAAGCCTTAGCCTCCTGCAGCTTAGCTACTGTCACTCTAGTGCACCTTCCAGAGTCACTAATTATCACACAGAATCAGGTATTCTTTTTTTTTTTTAAGATTTTATTTTTCGGGGGTGCCTGGGTAGCTCAGTCAGTTAAGCATCTGCCTTATGCTCAGGTCATGATCTCGGGGTCCTGGGATCCAGCCCTGTGTCAGGCTCCCTGATCAGCCAGAAGTCCGCTTCTTCCTCTGCCCTTCCCCCTACTTCCCCCCACCCCGACCTGGCTCATGTTCTCGCTCTCAAATGAATAAATAAAATCTCTTTTAAAAATTAAAAAAAAAGGGCGCCTGGGTGGCTCAGTTGGTTAAGCAACTGCCTTCGGCTCAGGTCATGATCCTGGAGTCCCGGGATCGAGTCCCGCATCGGGCTCCCTGCTCGGCAGGGAGTCTGCTTCTCCCTCTGATCCTCCCCCTCTCATGCTCTCTGTCTCCCATTCTCTCTCTCAGATAAATAAAAAAAAATCTTAAAAAAAATTTTTTTAAAAAGATTTTATGTATCTACTGAGAGAGCACACAAGCAGTGGGGAGGGGCAGAGGGAGAAGCCGACTCCCCACTGAGCAGGGAGCCCAATGCCAGGCCTTGATCCCAGGATCCCGAGATCATGACCCAAACCTGAAGGCAGACGCTTAACAGACTGAGCCACCCAGGAGCCCCCAGGATCAGGTATTCTAATGTAGCTTCCACCTAATCAATAGCTAAATCCAAGCACAAAGCCTATGTGCTTCATGCTCTCTGTAGCATTTGACACTCTTGATGCTACCTACTGAAACTCTCCTCCCTTAGATCCCATGACAACACACTATCCTAATTCTCCTCTTACCTACCTGGCAGCAACTTCCATATCTCTTAATGGCCCCACTTCTGCCTGCTCTGGAGTGTGGGTGTTCCCTTAGGCTCGGTCCTTGATCCTTTACTCTTCTCTGACTACATTCTTTCACTTAAAGATGTCATCTTTCATGGCTTTATTGCCTCAACTTTGAAGACTTCTGAATCCCCATCTCTAGTCCCACTCTCTCCCCTAGAAGACGTATTGGAAGTCTACATTTCTGCTGAACAATTCTATTTACATGTTATTAACACCTAAATATTGTTGAAAATTTCAGCATTTTAAAGCCAAGAGGTATCATTCACCCCCCTAATTTTTTAGATGAGGAAATTTAGGTGGCTTGTGCAAGACAACACAATGTGGGTACAAAACTCTGGGTTTCCAGTCTGGTGCTTTTTCCAGTGGTCGCGAATCAAAATATTATCTTTCCTTTAAAGATGTCCTGTTCTTCCTTTCTATACTCTTTTTCTTCTGTTAACACTGTCTAAGCTACCATTGTTTTTCTAGATAACTGAACTTAAAACTTGGTGCCATTCAGTCACCAAATCCTTTATATACGTATATTTATATATATAATATAAATATATATATGTGTGTGTGTGTGTATATTTTTTTAAAGATTTTCTTTGTCAGAGGAGAGCACAAGCAGAGGGAGAAGCAGGCTCCCTGCCAAGCAAGCAGCCTGATGTGGGACTCGATCCCAGGATCATGACCTGAACCAAAGGCAAACGCTCAACCTACTGAGCCACCCAGGTGTCTCACCAAATCCTTTTTATTCTGTATTTGGAATGTCTCTTAAAATCCATTTCTTCCTACCCATTTCATTGCCACATCTTTGGCCTAAACTTTAATTATAGCAATAGTCTCTCTTACCTCTAATCCCTCTCACTGATACCAGATTACTTTTCCTAGAACAGTGTTTTGCATGTCATTTCCTATTCAAATCCTTGAAAGGCTCCTCAGTGCTTTGAGAAGTTCAAAGCCTTTACTCAAAGTCTTTGCTTCTCCTTCTGTTCCCCTACTTGATCCCTCTGTTCGCTTTTTTATTTGCCCTTGATGAACACCGTAAGACTTTTTAACTCTAAACTCTTGTTCACGCTATTCACCTTGCCCAGCCTTTCTTGCTTCTCTCAATTAAACCCTACCCTTCTTTAAGAGACTCACTCAAGTCCTTTTCCCAATTATTCTCTCCACTAAACATGATATATAAGCTGTCTTTGGCCCTTTACTCCATCAAATGAGATCATTCACGTAAAGTACCCATACAAGGTTTGGTATATAACAGATTCTCAAAAATGTTACTTTCCCTCTTCCTTTATTTCAAAAAGAATTTTATATTTTATCCCATTTGATTCCCATGACAAATTTTTTTCCCATGACAAGTTTTGTGTGATTGAGTGCAACTACCCAACTCAGCCATTGTTGCCCAGAGCAGCCATATCTAATAAGGCAAACAAATGAGCACAACTGTGTTCCAATAAGGTTTTATTTACAAAAACAGGAGTGGAACTGGATTTGACCTATAGGCAGTAGATTTCGGACTATGGGTTTAAGTGACATAAGACATATGAGTATCAGAATTTGGACAGAAATCAGATCTCTTAACTTCTAATCCAGTGCTTTTCCATCATATTATCCTTTTGCCTATATAATTTATTTTGCATTTATCGTATGCTAACTTGTTTTACTATTTAAAGTTATGTCTACTGTACTGTCTTCTGGTGGTCCAAAGGGCACTGGAATGGTATCAAAACACCTAACAGGGGGCGCCTGGGTGGCTCAGTTGGTTAAGCGACTGCCTTCAGCTCGAGTCCCGCATCGGGCTCCCTGCTCTGCGGGGAGCCTGCTTCTCCCTCTCCCACTCCCCCTGCTTGTGTTCCCTCTCTCGCTATGTCTCTCTCTGTCAAATAAATAAATAAAATCTTAAAAAAAAAAAAAAAAAAAAAAACACCTAACAGGGGTGCCTGGGTGGCTCAGTCGGTTAAAGGTCTGCCTTCCGCTCAGGTCATGATCCCAGGGTCCTGGGTTCGAGCCTCACATTGGGCTTCCTGCTCAGCGGGAAGCCTGCTTCTCCCTCTGCCCCTCCCCTTGCTTGTGCATTCTCCCTCTCGCTCTCTCTCTCTCTCTCAAATAAATAAAATCTTAAAAAAACACCTAACAAAGAGTAGGCATTCAATAAAAGTTTGTTAATAAGCCTAATGATGTCCCAGTCTCGCTCTATTTTGGTACTTTGAACCTGGCTTAACTTATAACACAAGTACCTGCTTGTTTTTTTGTTTTTTGTTTTTTGTTTTTTTTTAAGATTTTATTTATTTGTCAGAGAGAGAGAGAGAGAACGCGCACTAGCACAATCAGTGGGGAGCAGCAGGCAGAGGGAGAAGCAGGCTTCCCGCTGAGCAAGGTGCCCTGTGCGGGACACTTGTGTATCTTTCTTCTTTTGGGCCTTTCTCTACTGTTTTCCAGTAGCCACTAGATCTGAATTTATGTGAATAACCACAGATGGATATGTAGAAGTAACATATGAACAAAAGAAAATCTGTTTCCACAGTGAAGAAGAAACAAAGGAGATATTTCTACTAGGTCTCACTGGGAGGCAAAGGGATAGAAGTTGTCATAAAAGTCTTCAATTCAGGGCGCCTGGCTGGCTCAGTCCGTGGAGCACGGGGCTCTTGATTTCGGGTGGTGGGTTCGAGCCCCACCTTGGGTGTGGAGATGGCTTAAGAACAAAAATCTTAAAAAAAAAAAGAAAAAAAAAAAAGTCTTCAAATCTAAAACCTGCAGGCGTTTCCCAACTCTTTGTTTAGTAATTTCACTTTATTTAGTCAAATGCCTGGGCATATGATGTTATAGGAAACTCACGGTATGTTCATTTCTTTTCCTTAGTTTTTAAGCAGATGAGGGTCGTGAAGCTGTTTTTTCCGGACAGCAGATCTCAAAGAATCTGTGTCCTTTGAGAAAACAGGAAGCGTGTTCAGGAAGCTTTGCCTATTTCTCTCATTTTCCTTCCAGAAAAAGAAATGCCTTAAATATCTATTACAGATTTGATAGGATTAGGGGGCACGGAATCGCGCTGACCTTCTCAGAGACCGAAGCATGAGAAAACGAGAACCTGTTTGGGGCGAATTGAAGGCAACGAGTATCTTGCTTTGTCGGGTGTCGAGTCCGGGCTGGAGGCGTGGGGAGCCTGGCGCGGGGGCGTCGGGGAAGGGGGCGTGGAGAAGCCATCAGCTGGAGCCAGGAAGAATGTTGCCATGGTTTCCAAGCAGTTTTTCTCTTCCAGCCTGGATTTCTTCGCGAGGCGCAGGAGATGACGTCTTTCCGCTTCCGGCCGCGAGCTGGCTTTGTGGCGGCTGGTGCCTGAGGGAGCTGGGTGAGGATCTGGGGTTGGGGTTGGGGAAAGCAAAGCGGGTATGGTGGGAGGGGAAGCTTGCGCGAGAAAGACTTCGTACCCAGCTCCCACCCCCAAACCCTCCTGGGGCGGTGAGCCGTAACTGGAGGCGCGACCGGATCCTCCGTGCCCGGCCACGTACATCCCCGTGATGACGCCCTGCTACCATCTCTTCTTCCCTATGCTAGGGTTGTATTGGCAAAGAGAACTAGGCAGTCTTGATTACGATTAGCGCGTGATCTCTAGGATATGAAGAATCCCACGTGCCCCTGTGTCCCTTGTTCCTGGGCACGTTGCTTTTCCAGACCCTGAGTGAGCTCGTGCGGTAGAGTGTGCATTCTGCTCTGTTTCTCTTTCTTACCTGGTCTCTATACTTTGCCTTTATCCGTTATCCTTTAGGTCCTGCAGAGTGAAGATTTAAATTCCAAGGTCATGGCAAAACATCTGAAGTTCATTGCCAGGACTGTGATGGTACAGGAAGGGAACATAGAAGGTGCATACAGGACCCTAAACAGGTAACCAGAATCGTGCCTAGACAAGCTCTCTTGGGAAGTGCTTGGGTGGTTATTCTTTCCCTTCCCCTGTCATAGATTGTTCTCAAACCTCCGCCAGCCCAGGTATTCAGCCTCTTGAAACTTTTCAGCCCCTTAGTTTATTATCTTAAAAATGAAGTTTTTCCCCAAAACCTAACTGTATGGGGTTTGTATATACAGAGCCTGAATTCTCTCCCCCAAGACTTAAGGAACCCAAAGGGAAAATAAAAATATAAAGTTGCTGGGAAGCAGGAACGTAGTACATGATAAATAGAAGGTCGAGGGAGGGATTGGTGTAGGGCAAGGCCAATGGAAAGATGAATTGAGATTTGGGATCTTGGAGAAGGAAGCAAGAGATGGAAAAGTGTATCAGGTTTAGGGGAAGGTTACAGCAAAAGCAAAAACATAAAGGTGGAAATGAACTGGGAGTAGAAGACCTGTTTTGAAAGGTTTTGAATGCTAGACTAAGAGATGTAGAAGGGCTGTAATAAAGAATACCTTAACGTCAGACGTTCTCAGGCCAATAGTTCCTTAGTCTTCCCTTATCATTGGTTGTAAGGATTTTGACTTTCCGGCTTGCTTCATCATTTTCTCTCCCCAGTGTGAAAGAAACAAATGCTTGTTGAGTTGAATTATCAAAGAATTGTATGAAAGAGATTTTTTTTTTTTTTAAAGATTTTATTTATTTGTCAGAGAGAGAGACAGAGCACAAGCAGGGGGAGAGGCAGAGGGAGAAGCAGGCTCCCCGCTGAGTAAGGAGCCCGATGTGGGACTCGATCCCAGGACCCCGGGACCATGACCTGAGCCGAAGGCAGCCGCTTAACTGACTGAGCCACCCAGGCGTCCCTGTATGAAAGAGATCTTAAGAGAATATATGAGCTGGCCTTCTGCCTTAAGGCCAGTAAGGTGGTAGCTTTATTACACAAGTAAGGGAAGCTTTGGACATGTAAATTATGTTTCTTGGATTACACAATTATTGAATGGTGGAGAGGAGCATAAAACACACCTTTCTACTACAGTGTTCTTTGCTTTTATGTCACTAGATTGTTTACTAGTTCCTCTGGAAATGTAGACACCTATTGCAGTCATTTTCCAGTTAAGAATCTTTATTTCATTGGATTTATTAGTGGGGTTCTTGGGGGCTGAGAGGATAAATGAAAGAGAAACTAGTTCTTAGCAAAGAGTTTTGGGTGTGGAGAGTTGGATGGCAGAAGACCATAGTTAATGAGGACAAAGATGCTGTCAGAAGCTGTGTAATTTTGAAGCAGTTGCAAGCTCAAGATGAATTGTGTCTTTTAAGGATCTGGTCTTAGGTCATCCCCATTACCTCATTCAATGTCTGTGCATACCAGTCATATCCTTGCACAGAAGGTGTTCCCTAAAGATAATCAGTTAAGTACTATGTGGTAAGATACCCTATATCATTTTTTTCTATCACTGCTCATACCCAACTCTTTCCTATTTCAGACCTAGTGGCATGTCTGTGAAAGGGTCAAAATGTCTAATGACCTTTCTCTGTCCCTATATTATAAGCACAAAAAGAATGTCTTTATAGACTCAGTAGTGAATTAGCTAGTGAGATGAAATGCTGAATTTGGGAAAAGGAAGTCTAGTAAATTTCTCCACCCTTTTTCTGATCTTTTCCTGTAAGTCTTTGTATGATTTTTTTTTTTTTTTTTTTGGTGGATTTAGATGGGTCTGTTAGCCAGAGTGATTGAGATGTTTGTATTATTGAGGGATGTCAAAGGCCAGCTGTTACTTGATGGTAAAACAGATTTCCAAAGGTTTAGCTTTAGCTCCCCTAACCTCCCCTGTTCCTAAAGTGCAAATAACACAAAAGCAAAAATTTGATTTTTAAGAAATGAGCTACTTTGGCAAGGAATGAAAAAACAATTTATGGTGCAAGATTATTTATTAAACCATTTCTTATATTTGTATCAAGAAAATAGCTACAACTTTAATACTTTTTTTTTTAAAGATTTTATTTATTTATTTGAGAGAGAGAATGAGATAGAGAGCATGAGAGGGGGGAGGGTCAGAGAGAGAGGCAGACTCCCTGCCGAGCAGGGAGCCCGACGTGGGACTCGATCCCGGGACTCCAGGATCATGACCTGAGCCGAAGGCAGTCGCCCAACCAACTGAGCCACCCAGGCGCCCCTCAACTTTAATACTTTTGACCAAAGCCATGGCTTGAATATAAGAGCACAGAACTCCCTTCCCCAGGTGTCTGGGTGGCTCAGTCAGTTGAATGACCATCTCTTGATTTCAGCTCAGGTTATGATCTAAGTCTAAAAAAAAAAAAAGAAGAGCACAGACCCTTAAGCAGACTGCCCGGTTCAGATAGATCTCTGCTCTGCCATTTATTAGCTTCATGATCTATGGTAAGGTACTTAATGTCTCTCTGCCTCAGTTTCTTCATCTGTAAAGTGGAACTAATAATAGTACCTGCCTCTTGGGTTTGATGTGAGGATTAAATTAGTTAGTATGATTAAATTGCTTAGAACAGTGTTTGGCACATTGTACATTAGCTATTATGATAAGTTGGAAGTCATTGTGAGGAAGTTTTTACCCTTTTGGTTTTGCTTGTGGGTGATTTATTTATTTATTTTGAATGGTTAAGTTTACGTTAGCTGTTTTTTCTCTATCTTCCTTGATCATTAGGTTATGCTCAAGGTGGCCTGGAGATGAAAAAATGAGAAAATTAAGCTTTATTTTTTTAGGACAATCCAGTTTGCTGCTAATACTGGAATGACTTTTTTTTTTTTTAAAGATTTTATTTATTTATTTGACACACAGAGACAGCGAGAAAGGGAACACAAGCAGGGGGACTGGGAGAGGGAGAAGCAGGCTTCCCACTGAGCAGGGAGCCCAATGCGGGGCTCGATCCCAGGACCCTGAGATCATTACCTGAGCTGAAGGCAGACGCTTAACGACTGAGCCACCCAGGCGCCCCTGGAATGACTTTTCTTATAGACAGTGATACTTTCCAACCAAGTCTCTTCTATTTAGCCTATTGCTACTCTCATTTTGAAATAATAGCATTTATTCCCTCTGTATGCTCTGCTCTTTCATCTCTATTTCTAGTTATAAAAATTTAAAACCTGAAAAACAAAATATTCCTAATTTCCTGCCTGAAGGAGTTGATCCTCTTTCCATTGATGTCAGACCTGAAGAAAACATTAGGCCTTCTACCTTCTGAGACACCTTTCTGATGTCTTTGTCTGGGATCGTTCTAATTAACTTAGAATCAAACCTCTATATATCTGCATCTTCCAAAATGCAATATATTTTAATTTTAATCAACATTAGAGTTTTTCTTTTCCTGTTTTTTTTTTCTTTTTTTCATTTTATCTAAAAATCCTTCCTGATTCCAGATGCAAGTGGGTGGCAGGTGAAGGAAGAATAAATAAATGGCAGAAGATGAGGCATGTTTGGATTCTTTCTGCCATCTGGCCTGGCCTGGTACTATCTCAGTTCTTGTTCTTAGGAATCTGTTTTCATATCCCTCTCTGTCTCTTTTTTTTTTCTCTTTCTTTTTTTTTTTTTTTTTTAATTCATTGCCATTGCATCTGTTCTAGGGCTAGCATCTCCACCCCTATTCAAGTTAAAATTGGTGCTCTGGGCAAATGCATCAAATTTATTCCAGAGGGGTGCCTGGGTGGCTCAGTTGGTTAAGCGACTGCCTTCGGCTCAGGTCGTGATCCTGGAGTCCCGGGATCGAGTCCCGCATCGGGCTACCTGCTCAGCAGGGAGTCTGCTTCTCCCTCTCCCGCTCCCCCCTCTTATGCTCTTTGTCTCTCTCAAATAAATAAATAAAATCTTAAAAAAAAAAAAAAAATTCCAGAGACTTTTGTCTCTGGATTATACCCTTGGCACACTGTCAAATATCCTAATTAAGAAACATGGCATTACTGGGGAGCCTGGGTGGCCTGGGTGGCTTGTTCGGTTAACTGGCAGACTCTTGATTTTGGCTCAGGTTATGGTCTCGGGGTTCTGAGATCAAGCCCCACGTCAGGCTCCTTGCTCATCGAAGAGTTGGCTTGAGGATTCTCTCTACCTCTTCCTCTGCCCCTCCTCCACTTCTGGTGTCTTCCCACCCCACCCCTACCCCCAAAATAAATAGATAAATCTTTACAGAAAAAAGAAACATGGCATTACTTTTTCTTCATTTCAGGGATTAAAACACCAATTTAGGAACAGCTTTTGGGGAAAAATTATATAGTACTTAAAAAGAAAGAATTTGATCAGAAAGAAGAGGAATGGTTGGAAAGAAAAATAGACAAAAAGATTCAAGTCCCAGAGACTCAGGGCCTTGGGTATGATGATCTCTTTTTGGCTTCCTTATGAATTTAGAAAATTCATACTTTGTGGCTGGGATTATCTAGGAAAGCAGTGCAAGATGCGCATGTTGTTGGGGTGCTTGGTGGTCCAGTCAGTTAAGCACCTGCCTTCGGCTCAGGTCATGATCTCAGGGTCCTGGGATCGAGTCCCATGTCAGGCTCCCTGCTCAGCGGGGAGCCTGCTTCTCCCTCTGCTTCTGCCCCTCCACCCAGCTTCTCTCTCTCTCTCCTCTCAAATAAATAAATAAAATCTTTGAAAAAAGAATTAAAAAAAAAAAAAAGAGCATGTTGTTAGAAGGTGCCAGGTTGGAGCAAGTGTTACAGTAATAATTTTTATAGTCTTTTGGGAGGATACTTATTTTGTCAATTGGCGTTCAGTCTTTAGGAAGCTAATATTTCTCTTCCTTTTAATCTTGGAGTATTAAATATACATGCTATAAATTGTATTTTAGCTTCAGGAGGAGAAAATGGGCAAATATTTTGCTCTTAGAATGATTCTCTAGGCAAGGAGTTTAAGGTGAAAATGTGAGCCAGCTGGTTCTGAGGTATCCCAGTCTTCCTGTCAAACACAGTATTTTCTGATGCACTTTTCTTATTTTTCTCTGCTTTTTCTTAATGACCTCTCTGGCCACCTTTTCTGTA